TTTGTGTGTGTGTGTGTTGTTTTGTGTGTGTGTTTTGTGTTGTGTTTTGTGTTGGTGTTTTGTGTTGTGTTTGTGTGTTGTGTGTTGTGTTGTGTGTTGTGTTGTGTGTTGTGTTGTGTGTTGTGTTGTGTGTGTGTGTGTGTGTGCTTTGTTTTTGTGTCTTTGTAGTGTTGTGTTGTGTGTTGTGGTTTGTGTTGTGTTGGTTATGTGTCAGTGTGTGTGTCATGTTGTGGTGTGTTTTCCAGGCTGTGTTTTGTGCTTGATTTTGTGTAGTGTTTGTGTTTGTTTTGCACAGGTTTTAGTTGTGTTTTGTGTTGTGTTGTGTGTTGTGCTTTGTGTTGTTTTCTGTGCTGCTTTTGTGTGTTGTGTTAGTTTTGTGTTGTGTTTTGTGTTGTGTTTTAAGCCAGGTGTTGGTTTTAGGAAAGGTTGTTTTGTGTTGTGTTTTGTGGTGTGTTTGTGGTGCTTTTGTGTTTTGTGCTGTGTCTTGTGGTGTGTTTTGTGTTGTGTTTTTTGTGTTGTGTTTTGTGGTGTGTTTTGTGTTGTGTTTGTGTTGTGTTTGTGGTTGTGTTTTGTGTTGTGTGGTGTTTGTGGTGTGTGTTGTGGTGTTTGCTGTGCTCAGGTTGTGTTGTGTTGTGCTTGGTGGTGTTGTGTGTTGTGTTGTGTGTTGTGTGTGTGTGTTGTGTTGTGTGTTGTGGGTTGTGTGTTGTATTGTGTGTGTTGTGTGTTGTGTTGTGTTTTGTGTTGTGTTGTGTTTTGTGTTGTGTTCAGGTGTGTTTGTGTTGTGTTTTGTGCCTTTTATGTAGTTTGTGTTGTGGTTTGTGTTGTGTTTTGTGTTGTGTTTTGTGTGTGTTTTGTGCTGTGGTTTGTGTTGGTGTTGTGTTGTGTTTTAGTTATGTTTATTATGTTGTGTGTTGGGGGTTGTGTGTTGTGTTGTGGTGTGTTTTGTGTTGTGTTTTGTTGTAGTTGTGCTGTGTTTTGTGTACAGTGGATCCAGTTTAGTAGCTGACTGTGTTGTGTTTTGTGTTGTGTTTGTGTTGTGCTGTGTTTGTGTCAGGCTTGAAACAGGCTGCCTTGTGTCAGGCCTTGTGTGTTCAGGCCTCAGCCAGGCCTATGTGCAGGCCCTGTGTGTGTCCTGTGTCCTCAGGCTCCTCAGGCCCTGGTGGCCCAGGCTCTGTGTGTCAGGCCAGTGTACAGCCTCAGGGCCAGGCTTGTGTGGTGGTGCTCTGTGTCAGGCCTCAGTGGTGCCCAGGCCAGGTCTTTAGGCCGGTGGCCTTTACAGCTCAGGCCAGGGGAGATTCCCTTGGTGTGTGTTGTGTACCGTGGCACAGCGAACTGTGGTTAGGCCAGGACTGTGTGTGGGCCAGCTGTGTGCCAGGTTGTTGTGTGTTGTAAGTTGTGTGGTTGTGTTGTGTTTTGTGTTGTGTAGGTTGTGTCTTTGTGTGTTCAGTCAAGGCTCAGGCCAGGTGCCTCCTCTAGGTGTGTTTTGTGGCCAGGCTCCTTTGTCAGGCTCCTTTGTGCTTGTGGCTCAGGCCAGTGGTTGCACAGCCTTTGTGTCTTGTGTGTTGTGTGTCAGGCTGTGTGTCAGGCCTGTGGCAGCTTTGTGTCAGGCTCTGTGCTTGTCTTTGTGTAAGGCCTTGTGCTTGTGCCTTGTGGCTGTGTCTTGTGCTTGTGTCTTGTGTCAGGCTCTCAGGCTCTGTGCTCCCAGGCCAGGCTCATAGTGTGTGCCATTTGCGCAGCGGTGCTGGTGGCCTGTGCCAGGCTCCTAGCCCAGCTTGCGCCAGGCCTTGCGTCAGGCCAGGCCTTGTGTCAGTTTGGTGCTCCCAGGCCTCAGGCTCAGGCTCCTGGTGCTCCAGGCTCCCCGGCCTTGAGGCCTGGAGGCCTGGAGCCCGGTGGGGCTCCAGGCCCCCAGGCTCCTTGTGTCAGGCTCAGGCCAGGCCTCCAGGCCAGTCCCAGGCAGGCCAGTGTTGTGTTTTGTGTTGTAGTTTTAGGTTTGTTTTGTGTGTTGTTCCCAGTTAGTGTGTTGTGTTTTATGTTTGTGTTTTAGCTGTTTTGTGTTTTGTGTTTTGTGTTTTGTGTTTTGTGTTTTGTGTTTTGTGTTTTGTGTTTTGTGTTTTGTGTTTTGGTTGTGTTGTGTGTTGTGTTTTGTGGTGTGTTGTGTGTGTGTGTGTGTTGTGTGTTGTGTGTGTTGTGTGTTGTGTTGTGTTGTGTTGTGTTGTGTTGTGTTGTGTTGTGTTGTGTTGTGTTGTGTTGTTGTGTTGTGTTGTGTTGTGTTGTGTTGTGTTGTGTTGTGTTGTGTTGTGTTGTGTTGTGTTGTGTTGTGTTGTGTTGTGTTGTGTTGTGTTGTGTTGTGTTGTGTTGTGTTGTGTTGTGTGTGTGTTGTGTTGTGTTGTGTTGTGTTGTGTTGTGTTGTGTTGTGTTGTGTTGTGTTGTGTTGTGTTGTGTTGTGTTGTGTTGTGTTGTGTTGTGTTGTGTTGTGTTGTGTTGTGTTGTGTTGTGTTGTGTTGTGTTGTGTTGTGTTGTGTTGTGTTGTGTTGTGTTGTGTTGTGTTGTGTTGTGTTGTGTTGTGTTGTGTTGTGGTGTTTTGTGTTGTGTTGTGTTGTGTTGTGTTGTGGTGTGGTGTGGTGTGTTGTGTTGTGTTGTGTTGTGTTGTGTTGTGTTGTGTTGTGTTGTGTTGTGTTGTGTTGTGTTGTGCTGTGCTGTGTTGTGTTGTGTTGTGTTGTGTTGTGTTGTGTTGTGTTGTGTTGTGTTGTGTTGTGTTGTGTGTGTGTGTGTTTCAAAGTTGCCGGTTGGAGATTTGTTTGTGAAAACCGCCCAGAAGCAACAGTTCAGTTTTGGGCATCAGAAGAGGCACAAAGCCCCTGCAGAAAGCCCTGTCAATTGCACCGATGCCAGGCGCCAGGCTCTTCCAAGCTGAGATCCACATCAGGTGCCGGCGCCTCAAGACACGGGAAGATACGCAAAAGCTCCAGAGCTCCGTTTCTGAGACAAGTTTAAGGCAAAGGAATCCTACTCTTCGGGGCTCCATGGACTTCAGGGCTCCATAGATGTTTCCAAAGCCGTGGCTGCTGAATGGCGCTTCCAAGCGAGCATATAGACAAGTATGATGAATCTAGCGCTGGACAGGGAATGCAAAGTTCTTGGGGGAGGAGATTTTGTGCTTCCCGAGCGTGCAGAATCTTCAATCCGCTGCAGACTTTGACGAAGCTTTATGATTCACAGCGTGTGGCGGTGGCAAATGCCTTGTCGTGGCGATGAGCTTGCATCTAAGTAGAATGTCACTTGATCTGGTTGGCACATCATCTTGATGGGTGGGTTCCAAAGCTGATATTGGTATCCACGCTCAAGTATGCCTGGGCGGGCACATGCTAGCACCGATATTTGGTGGTACCGGATTTGATCTACTTCATCAAGAAGCACAGGCTTCAACCAGGAATCTGAAACAAGATCCAGGCTAACGTCCGACAGTCCTCACCATCCGCGCCGTGCAAGATTCCGCTCTCCAGCGCAAGCGCTAAACCCTGAGATATCAGTTCCAAAAGTTTATGGATCTTTGCCGACTTTCTATCGACCCAGGGCTGCACCTTGACCTGATGTCGGTCTTTTTCAGCTTTCAAGCAGTCATGCTTTATCTCCTCAACAAACCAGGAAGCCAGACCCTTCAAACACAAGCGGACTTATTCTCATCCCCTCTATGATACATTGACATGCCGCGCAAAAGCATTCGAAGCTCGCTCACGTTGGACAGAGATGCACCACTGTTTGTATCTCATGTCTCAAAATGAGTCACAATCAAAACCCGGTACAAAAATGGTCGACCAGAACCATGCTTCAAGAACTAGCAAGGCGGATATCCGCAGCTATTTATGGCTGGGATCGTCCCTTACTAACCCTTCACTTACCCAGGTTTTGAGCACGTCGCTCAAATGTCAAGCGGCCAGGCTAGGAGGCACACGTGTGAGTCTTAGCTTTGGGACCCAAGTTGGGACCCCAGTGACTTGATTTTCATTCGCCGGAACCTCGAACCCTCCCGGAACCCCCTCAAGCTTCCTGGGTACTGAAAGAGTACCAACAGGGCGCCAGAAATGAGCTGCACAACTGGAATCCATAGCTTTAGCTTTCCCTTCGTTTGTGTGTTTTTGAAAACCAGGATTCATGAGGCCCATTGACAGTGTTGAGGCGTTATCGCTTTGCGACTACTACCCATCGCCCCCGCTGCCCCTGATCCGGCCTTCTTTGGCGGCTTTGCACCCTTTACAGGGAAGAGCACCGCGTCACGGGTGACCATGTTGCCCATCTCCTCATCAAACCGCTCTGCGATAGCTGGAACATGCACAACAAGTGACACAGCGCCATACACCAAGCACTGCAATGTCTTGCGTTCGATCTTTGAACCGTCTGCATACTGCTGCTGTTTCATGTTCACAATGGTTCGTCCTTCTCTCTGCAATCTGTTGGGCGGCAAATAGCCGGCAAACCAACCAGCCAGTCAACTCCAACAAACTAGCTGCCTGGCCAACTAAGCAACTCAGATGCCACCCAGCAAGCCAAGCTAATCAGCAAATGGGACACCTGGGAAGCAGGGCCAATTCGGTAAACAAACAAATGAAACTACAAACCAACCAAATGACTAACTAACCAGTGACCTAACAATCTGGCTAGCTAGTTGGCTAGCAGTTGACTGCATATCACAACTTTCTAACTAGCCATTTTAGCAAAAAGTGTGATAGCCAGCAAGTTTACAAATAATCCAACTAACAAGTTAACTGCTAACTAAGTAGCCAACTCCAATGAAAAATTTAAACCTTTTGATTCAGTAGCGAAGCAACTAGATAGCGAACCGACTAAGTGTAGCTGGCAACCAACCAACGCAAACCAACGCAAACCAACCAACCAACCAACCAACCAACCAACCAACCAACCAACCAACCAACCAACCAACCAACCAACCAACCAATAAACCAATAAACCAATAAACCAATCAACTGCTGCTTACTTAGTGAGACTTAGATTGCTGACTGACTGGATGGCTGGCTAGGGTAGACAAAAATGGTGGGGGTGGAAGGATGGGTTGCCCCATCCACCCCATCCACCCACTCACTCGCTCACTTATACATTATTCAACCAACAAGGTGATGAGGAATTGCAAACTCGCCGCAATGGTTTGAGGATGAGTATTCGGAGATTTCGGTACAACAGTTGGTTTGTTGTATTTGTTGTTTACAGCAGTATTGTCAGCTGATTTGTTTTGACAGGCGTATTTCCGGAGGAGAATCGTTGAAACACATTACTTCCAAGGGCTTGCTTGATTCATGTTCGTTCCCCTCCAACTTGCTTTTAGCATGCGACCACATTCATTTGTTTATTCATTAACCAACTCTGGGGTCAATATTGTCTCATGATTTTGCCGCTTGTGCCATTGCCGGGCATCAGTTTTTGAGATTGCTTGCTTTGGTTGCCGGACTTTCAGGATATCATATCTACATATATATCACCCGCATCCTGTCTGTTCTCCAAGAAAACGTCCGAAACCAGACACTGGCCCCATGCTTCGACAGCTGCATCATGCTTAACAGGCGTGCTCGGCACGCGACAAGCGCGACGCACAGGCGCACGCGGCACGGGCGAACCAAGACACACGCGCGCCTCGTGCAACATGGCCTCTGCCTGCTGCAGCAGGTGCTGCGGTCCGCTCAGTGCCTCGCCGGCCTGAACAGTGCACCGGGAATAGGATACATTGTGGCAGCGGGCTGTGTGGGGTCGCCTTTGGGGATGCGCAGAGGTGTGTGAATATGTGTGTATTTATATATATATATATATATGTGTGTGTTCCAGGCCGTGGACCCCCCCCCAACCCCCGCTTCTGTGGGTGGGGTGGGGGGGGTGTTGGGTGGTTGGGTGGGTGGTTGGGGTGTGAGTTGGGTTTGTTTAGGGTTGGTTTAGGGTGGGCATAGGGTTGTTGGTTTAGGGTTGGTTTAGGGTGGGCTGATTTAGGTTTGGTTTAGGGTTGGTTTAGGGTGGGCATAGGGTTGTTGGTTTAGGGTTGGTTTAGGGTGGGCTGATTTAGGTTTGGTTTAGGGTTGGTTTAGGGTGAGTATAAGGCTTGTTTAGGGTTGGTTTAGGGTTGATTTAGGGTTGGTTTAGGGTTAGGGTTCAGGGTTAGGGGTGTAGGATTGGTTTAGGGTTGGGGTTTAAGGTTGGTTGTGGGTTGAGTTGTCCTACGTGTTGGGATGCAAGGGTGGGAGTTCGCTCGAGGAGGGGTGTGGGGACCGTAGCAGCGGGGTGTGGGGATCCGGCAGGGGGGGGACCCTACCCCTGGTTGGAGGGGGGGTTGGTGGCCTGGGGACTGGAACATATATATATATATATATATATATATGTATAAGTATATATATATATATGTAGATTAAAAGAGAGAGAGAGAGAGAGAGAGAGACAGAGGGATAGCATACGCCGCGTACATCATTTTGGCAGCACCTGTCTGATGTTTTTCAGAGGAAACTCAAAGCCCCCACTTTGATGCCCGTCATACCGTTACTTTGTCCCTTCGTGCTGCGGCGTGCCTCGTTTGGGTATGGCATCCCTCAACAATATAGCACCTCTTGTTTCGCATTTTTTTGGATGAGTGATTCATTGTTCCATCAGTTATGACTGTGGCATGTGTCGAATGGGTCCTTGTCAATGGACCCTCAAACTTTCAGACTTGCATATTGCCATTGTACGTGGCTGGAGGGAGATGTGCAATGCTCCCTTTGCTTGGTTGTTGGCCGTCAACAGCTCAGGGTCCAGTTCAAGGGGTCATTCCGCTTTCCATAGAGCAAGGGCGGCAAAGAAGGCTCTCAAATTGACCGAAAATTTGTTTAACTCCCATGAACACTCGGACACTTCCCGTCACCGGAGCCACGCATCAATCTTCATGTATTGTGCGTTCGGAGTGTCTTGAAATCAAAGAGAAATCACCGCCTATCCCGCGGAGTTGCCCGATATAGATGAGTTGACTGGCTGCCGTGCGGTGCGACTGGGCGCGGGCCCAAGCCCACTGCCAGTGGCCAGTGAGCCAAAGCCTTTCCACTTGGACAGACTCCAGCTCATCCATCTAGTTGGGTTGGTGGTCAACAACAAGGGTGCTTGAATTAAACACCCATGTTCCAGGTGCTCCCAATACCCCACGCAGCAGACAACTGTGCCCCAGCCAGATGGCACTGGTAAATGGGTACACACTATTGGTGCCACCCCCTAAAGGGACATCAATGATTTGACGAACCACTTTGAGCTCAACTCCGGGCCTGCGCCGCAGAGCTTTCGAAGATCATCATGGAGGTTTGTACCTGAGCCACGACTCAACCAATACAATTCCATTTATTAGAGACATACAGTCCGTGTCTGATCCCCTATCGGTTTTGCGGGGTGGGGGATCCTTTTTAATGCAGATGACATGCGGAGTGTTGCTGGCATGCGGCGTTGTGCCAGATCCTGACATGATATGACACACAGGACATGCGGAATGCACTTCGTACCGTCTAATACGACTATTAGGTGTCTTCTTGACCCCAAGAAGTCCCCCGCCACTTTCCAGGCGCTCATTCCGCTCCTATGTTAGGCAAAACTGTGACTTTGGCAGCTGTCTGGGGACATGCCAGTCGTGGAATTTGAGGAAGCCCCCAAGGGAAGTTGATCAGGTGGCCCAAGCTTGTTTTTTTGCGTAGGTGAGCTCGCCAAGAGCTTGCATTGTATCGTATATATATATATATATTATGTATAGATATGATGTGCAACCCCCCACCCCCCCACCCCCTCCGCGCCCCAGCTTGCTTTACTTGAGCAGAGCCCCACCTACCCCACACCCCCCCACCCACCCGCCCCCGCCCAGCACCCGCCCACGCACCCACGCACCCACGCACCCACGCACCCACGCACCCACGCACCCACGCACCCACGCACCCACACACCCACGCACCCACCCACCCACCCATCCACCCAGTTGTTTTCATAGTAGTGCTAAGCAGACACATGTAGGGAGACACATGTAGGGAATCCCCCGCCTTGAATCTGCAATTGGCACTTGGATTTCTATTTACTGTATTTAGATCCTGGATCCAAGACCCAACCCCACGACCCAACAAGAATATTGGATCGTGAATTCAAAATTACGGTACTTAGACATAAAACTGCGGTCTTTAGAATTCCAGGAGGACTTCATGGATCCAAGACTCCCAGCAGTTAGCCACGCGGAGAAGACGCAGCCTCCGCGCGGATTTCGGGCCCAGATTTCCGGCCCTCTGGGCCTCCGGACGGGCCGGGGCAAGCCAAGCTTCACCGGCTGGCTCTGCTTCTGCCGCTCAATCTGGTCGAGACGGCTCGGCGTTGCTTCGGTTTCCGGCAAGGGATGGCAATAAGACTCCCTTGCATGGGACGGCTACCGACTGAGCCACAAAGCAACCGCAACCATCACGCGAAAACTGAAAGTGCAGTCAGCGCTTCCCTGACAATTTCCTCTTGATGATTAGCTACCCCTGGTTGCCCATGTGTACACGCTGTGTTAGACAGAATGCAAATTACACACTAGAACCTCCAAAATCAATGAAAATACACCCGCCCAAAGAAGGGCAAGCCAGGCGCCAAAATGCTTGCTTAATGGTGCGATCGGTCACGTCAGGCTGGGTAACCCTGACTGGTTATAACTCGGGTCAAGTAGGATGACCTCAAGACTTCCGAGTTTGTCTCCCCTCAAGGGGAAAGTCCAAGGGGATGTCTACGAATCCGAGAGGCCCGCCGCTTGACCTTTCCGAATTTCGGATAACTCATCCGGATCTGTCCCTCACCCATCTGGACGCTAGACTTGAACTTGGGAATTGGCCTTGTGCAGCGGCACTCTTCAAGTCAAAACTTTGGTCCACTGCCTGGCCCGAAGTGCCCTGAAAAAGTTTCCTTGCGAAGGACGAGGGAACGTGAAGGAAACCTAAAAGGGCCGTAAAGAAGGAAAAAAGTGCAAAAAACGAGCTGAGTCTGGCAATGGCAAGATGGTCTAAGCCCAAGTCACTATAAAGCCAGTTCCAGCTTTGCTCAGTTTCAAAAACCAAAACCAAAACAAAAGCTCCAAAGACCAACATTTGCAAGTTAGTGAAAAGCCCGGCTGTCCATTGAAAAACCGACTCCCTCTTTCTCATTCTTTACATATCCTGCTTGTTTTACTTTTTAAGGTTGAAGGTCCAACCCAACCGCCGCCGGGTATGATTGAGGGCTGTCATGTATTTGGTAGCCATTACCACCATTCCTGACCCAAAGGTTTAGCTCTTTGCTGGCTGATGGAAAAGTGGGATATAACCCGGTTTGCTGCCTGGCGCCGTTTTGTCTCACAAGCTGTCGAGCTGAGCCTGAATCCCACTGCTATCACCGCCGTAGCTAGGATGGTTCCAAGTCACCACAGATCCGTTGGCCAAAATGGCAGCAAAAGCAATGGCTCCTGCTTGGATCTGCTGGACCTGCACCAACTGCTCTCGCACCTGGCTGCTGTCACTGCCCGCGCTTGGATCGCCCCAAGTCACCACAGAGCCGTCGGCCAGGATGGCAGCAAAAGCCCTTTGAGTTGCTTGAATCTGCTGGACCTGCACCAACTGCTCTCGCACCTGGCTGCTGTCACTGCCCGCGTCTGGATCACCCCAAGTCACCACAGAGCCGCCGGCCAGGATGGCAGCAAAAGCAGTCCGGGTTGCTTGAATCTGCTGGACCTGCACCAACTGCTCTCGCACATGGGCACTGAAGCCGCCATCACGATGACTTCCCCAAGTCACCACAGAGCCGTCGGCCAGGATGGCAGCAAAAGCTTCCCGAGTGGCTTGAATCTGCTGAACCTGCACCAGCTGCTCTCGCACCTGGCTACTGTCACCGCCAGCGCCCGGATGGCCCCAAGTCACCACAGAGCCATCGGCCAGGATGGCAGCAAAAGCACTCTGAGTTGCTTGAATCTGCTGGACCTGCACCAACTGCTCTCGCACCTGGCTGCTGTCACTGCCCGCGCTTGGATCGCTGAACCGCCGGGCGTCTGTTTGCCGGTTTGGCTTGCCAAAAATGTCGGACAAGGCCTTTCACAGGCTTGTTTATGGCTCCGGACTTTTTTGAAAAGAATGCCAAGCCAGTCAGTCTGCCATGAAGGCCGGAAAGCATCAATTGGTACATCCTAAGCCAGCATTCGCCAGAGCAATATAGGGATGAGACGTGTTGATGGATTCTTGGGTGAAGCGATGAGACCATTGCACGAGTTGTGTCGAGTTTGGCCACAGGTCTGGCGGCTTGAGGGGCGCCGCTCGCTTGTCTCATTTAATCGCTGGGTCCTGTTGACTTGGAAGCGGTGCACATCAAGTTGCCAACCCCACCACAGAGCCGTGGGCCAGGATGGCAGCAAAAGCCCTTTGAGTTGCTTGAATCCGCTGCACCTGCACCAACTGCTCTCGCACCTGGCTGCTTTCACCGCCCCAGATGTTATCGCCCCAAGTCACCACAGAGCCGTCGGCCAGGATGGCAGCAAAACAATACGGCGTGGATTGGATCTGTTGGACCTGCACCAACTTCTCTTGCATCTTTCGGCTGTCACCGCCCCAGCCTTGAGAGCCCCAAGTCACCACAGAGCCTCCTTCGACATAAAGCGCGAATGCCTGCGAAGTGGAAGCTAGCTTCACATGCAGTGCGATTGCAGTGATACTCTGTCCCCATCGCGCAGACCAGCGTCAGCCAAAGTGCGCGATGGGTCCAGCTTCTCACTTCCGAAAAGGAGCCTCAGAAAGCGGCGCTCGAGCTGCTGTTGCGCCGCAGCCTTCAGCTCACGAATGCTCGCCTCGTGAGGCAATGCAGCAGCAGCTCTTCCCGCTCGCCAGGTACACTTTCAAATGCATGGCGCCGAATTTGCAAGGTCGCAGAGCCCGAGGCAAGCAAAGTGCCAGCCACCGACTAGGCTACTAGGCAGCGGCAACCGACTAATTCAAGAAATCAGGCTCGGTTTACCCCCAAACCGGCGAGCTAGCTTGATACATCTAATGCGTATGTGTGCGTGTGTATATATATACTTTTTTACAATATAATATGTATATATATATACATGTACTAGGGTAAGCCCGTGCCAGCGACCTCTGCCCTGCAGGCAACAAGTAGCTTTTCGAGCCCGACATCACTCGTTCTGCTTTTGATGGTCTTTGTTGACTCAAATGGTCGACGCCTTCAACATTGCCGGTGTGTTAGTCGAGGAAACGCTTCTTGATCCACTGTCTGAAAGGCTTGAAACTTGAGACATTCAAGGTACGCACAAGTGGCACGGCATGGGAGGCAGACTTGTTTGTAGTTTGGTAACATCTCGTTACACAAGTAGATGTTGCGGTGTCCGATCGCAAGTTGTCAATGTCATTCGGCGGCATCAAAGTTCTTAACGATTTCTCGCTTACTGAAAGCAGATGGCACTCTGAGCCGTAGACTAAAGTGGTCGAGCAAGGAGAATTCTTTCCGCTTACGCAATGCAGAGTGCCCCAATAGTCCGTAGACTAAATTGGTCTACACTCCCAGCATCACCAGTGCTTTAGCAAGGAAATTGCTTTTCCGAGGCTAAAAAGTTGCAAATCATCCGCACGCGTGCGTTAGTCGCAGGGGCCGGGGTCTGCAGTTTGAATGTGTTGCTTTTTGGCCAAGGGGACGGGAAGAGCACGCACACTTAGGCAGGGGGTCAGGGGGGGCAGGAACCTTTGGCGAAGTCGCACGGAATTGATTGTGCTACAAAGTCTATCAAAAGCTTCAACCTCACTCCCACCCACCTGGAACCCGCTGCCAAGGACCAGCTTCAACAAAGAGCTCGCGAGCGCCAGCTGCGACAAGGCGAGAAGAAGCAATGTTTGCCAGCTCGTCGAAGACGGCGGGCAAGCGAGGTAGACAAAGGCGCGGCGGCGCGGCGACAAAAAGTAGAAACGCAAACCAAACGTGTTGATGCTCGCACCGCTGACAGCCAAAAGCAGGCGAGCTAACGCGAAACGCGCGCGAGGCCCGCGCAAGCAAGCTTTACGAGAACGAACCGAAGCAACTCGGAGTTTGAAGCGCCCGCGTTAGACAGCCAAACTCGCGTACTCAAGAGCGAACGCGAGCCGGCCGCAGGCTTCAAAGCCGGCGCAGAAAAATACAATTGACACGCGCAGCAAGGAAGCCCTGTGGACAATCGTGAATGCTTTCTCTACGGACTCTACGGTCAGTGTTCTTTTCCAAAATTATTCTCAAATACCTACTCCTAGAAAAAACAGGACCGTTTTGCCCCTGCAGTTGCAAATTCCCAGAACTCCCGCTACAAACTAAAGCTCTCGAGGAACGAGAGCTTCCAAGAAGAAGCCAGGAGGTTCGAAAGTTCGCCTTGATCAAGGCACCGCAAATATATTCAGCATTGAACAGCCTTAGAGAAGAACAAGTAAACAAGAAAGAATCCTTATGCTGACTGACTTACGCTTGCTTAATATTTCTTTGACACGCGTCACAACTTTACTTTTCGAGCAACGTCCAGGCCATGCAAACGGATTGGTGCTATTGTAGTTACGAATCGCTGACACCAATCTGCGGGCTTCAGCCGAAGAGCTCCAGTCCCGGTGCACGACTCCCCAGCGCTTGTGCTAAATCGCCTATAGCTTCTTTTTGATAAGCATTTACGACATCCTTGCTCATACGGGTAGCGCGGGCCGCCCCTATTATCATCTCTTTAGATGATTCATATAGATTTGAATCTGAATAACAATTATGAGATAGAGTCTTAACAGTTTCTTCCAAAACTTGATGGCGCAAATGTCTAATTATTTTAGTTGCTTTTGCCACAACGTATTTGCCATGCTCAAGCAGCTGGCTCTCAAGCTTTCATTTTGAGATGGGGTTATGAATCTTGCTTAAAGTATCTCGAACAAGATTGCTATATCTATCGTTTATGTAGTTAGAATAAGCCTTGCCTTTGTATGGACGTTGCATCGCTCTGATCATCACCTGGAGGAAAAAAAACAAAAAACATGCAATCAAGTGTGCCGGCTCATATCTTTGTTTGGCTGAATTCTAGCATGTTGCTGGCTATCTTCCATTATTGGCATCGCATTGCTCGTAACGTCTGCAAATACTGTTGGTCCCTCGCGTTGTGCATGTTTTACAAGTAACGCGTGTATACATAAAAGTTTTAACAGCACCCAGACTCGCGAACAAAGTCCAGAACACCAATTCTTATAGAATCAGTCAGAACCGCACCGTTCCCTGCCGCAACAAAGCTCAGTGAGAGTAGAGCTTTGGATGATCAAATTCAGTGAGCCGATGTCTTGCAGAATTGCAGAAATATGCAAGTACGGACAATCAGAAGCTGAACATGCGTGAAGGAATGAATACATGCAAGCGGACAATTTCTCCTCAGGCTAAAAAACCTTCCGGCAACAACGACAAACTGTAAAAAGGGGATGAGTTCGGGGCACATTCCATTTATTGTGTCAACTCTGATGTTTCTGGTCAAAGGCAAGTCTTCTGGGGCCAGTCTTCAATCTCTGAATCACATCTTTGAGCAACCTTTCCGTTGCATTGAGCAATATCTCGGTGAAGTCTATCACATCTCTCTGCGCGATGTCTCTACGACATTCCTCTGTGCCATCTCTTGGCGCGATGCCCCTGCGCAAAAGCTCGATTTTGCGAAAAGAACCCTTGACCATACTTTGGAGTTGCTGAGTTCATATCCCGCCCACTTGAGGTGCAGGTTGTTATTGTTTTATTTTAAAAAAAAGAGGAAAAAATGACATCGCGCCTTTGGCCCCGCCTCCAGCCGCTCTTGCTCCTGGCGCTCCCGGCGCTTGTCGGCATCCGCGGCATCCTCCTCCAGAGGCCTCGAGGAAACCGCCGAAAACGAGGCGCGCATCGCGCACATAGGCGGCCTTTTGGAAAAATAGGTGGCCCTGGTAAATGGAATAAACCCATCTAAACCAGGGCCCTGGTAAATGGAAGAAACCCCATCTAAACCAGGGCCTTTTTTGTAAGCAAACCAACCAAAAAGGACACCTATGATCACGCACCGAAGGCGTTTGACGAAGAGAGAGAGACTCAATGTGGGGACCAAGACCGTCGAGCTGTCTAGTGCGTGTTGTGTGTGTGTGTGTCGAACAAGATGGGAAACAGGCATCAGCAAAAACGGCATCCAGCTATTTTTCTTACAACACCAGGACTAACATCCGTTGCGATTTGCTCTCTGATCCTGTGTCTCAGTTGGAAAGTAGCTCAATCATGTGAACGGTGAGTGTGCATGACCGAGCTCTCAAGACGCAGCAAATTCCCGCATAAGGCTCATTGACGCAAGGGCAGCTCTGGAAGCTAAATTTGACCGCCGATGTTGCAAAATGATGATGTTCAAAGCCACTGCTTGTTGGAAGGCTGAACACTCGTAAACTTCTCGACGGGAACCCAGGATGAATACTCCCCTAGTTGATTCCTACCCGGGTGTCCCGTTGCAAAGGGGAGGGGATCCCCTACTAATCCGCCAAGTCTATTGCTCTGGGGTGACGCTACTTGTTTGCCTGCACCGCTCTAGCCAACTTTTAGGCAGCGGCGCTTGCCCGTCGGTCTCCTCCTGGCCGTGGGAGACAAATAAGTCGCAATGCGACCGGACCAAATTCAAACAAGCGGGAGGGGCCGCATCCGGAAGCAACCAAAGACCGAGGATAAATGATGTTCTTTAAAGTCAGGAAGCGAGAAGATTGCAGACAAGTCTGGACCCCAATCCTTTTCCCAAAAACGGACGTGTGTTCTTCCAACTACTTAAGCTCCCAATGAAGCAAAGCGGCTGCAGAAATCCCACCAGGGATAGCCAAAGTCCAACCTTGCGGCCATGCAATTGGAGACAATCCGTTGGCACGATGTGCAGCTTCCCTCGTTGGCCTGCTCTTCTCATTGTGCAAAATGCCAAACATGTGACAAAAAACCAAGGGCGTGCCTTTCTTTGGAACACCCCATTTGACTGGTGCGAAAGGGACCCCGGACCCTCCGAACAAAACTCCCCCCCCCCCCCCCCATTTTGGCAGGTCTCGAATCCTCGGCAGAAAAAAAAAAAAAACGGACCAGCCATGAAGTATCGCCTCCATGAGCTCTGGCATGGAGATCTCCACTTCGTTCATGGGCGCCGGCAGGCTGCCAAGCCTCGCTCGACGACGTTCTACGTCTCTCTCTCGGGGAAGCGCCCAAAATGAGGCGGAAACTTCTCTCAGCTTCCCTTTGGGGTCAACCAGGCGATCCAGAAAAAGACACAAACCACCACCCAGCCGCGTCCTTCGCTCACGCTGTGCAATCTCAAGGTCGCCGGTTTCCAAGCTCGAAGCTGAGCCCTGGGAATTTGTGGGCACGTGTTTTGCTGGGTAAGGGAAATCTATTTTGGAGTTCCATAATTTAGAGACAAAATATCCGCAGCAGTCAAGTGTCTCTTGCCATATCCAATTTGTTGAGTCTCCGGCGCTGCTTGCATCTGCATTCGCAAGTTTGCCCTGCGGAGCATCTTGCCATTCCATCTTCCAAATCACGTCCGGCAAAGTCTCAGTGTTCACTCTGGGGGGAAACAGTAGTGCTGGAACCAAACGCTTCCCTGGTGGGCTCACAGACATGGCACCGCGGCTACCCAGCACGATGAGACAACGCGTTGACTTTTGGTGCTGGCAAGAGAGTTTGGTTTGTATTCCTAGTTGAGATTTCAGCCAGGTCATTCAGTAAGTCGAGATCCTCCCTGTGAAACACTTGTCCAGCTCATCTAGGCTTGGGCAAGCCACATATCCAGCATCACTCACCACATGCGTTGTGCCAATCAATCACGCGCTGCAAGCACAAGCAGTGCCGCCTGCGAAGCTTGTCTGGCATCTCCTCCATCTCCTAGCACAGTGATTCAGAAGTCACCTGGATTTCCCTTCACAAGTTGCATGTCGGTGGGTTCCGACGCTGCCACTCTCGCAGGTCCGAAAAGGAAGAAAGAACCCTTGAGGCTTTTCCCTCCTGACTTCTGCATGTGACAAGGCCATGTGATGATGACGATTCTCCAGGCTGGTTTCTGGCGTGTAACAAGCTGCTGTCGACTACCTCCGTGTCGCAGCTACAGACGTGTGTGGCCAGCATAATTCAAAGAAGTCCATTTGGATTGGACAATGACCTTTTGCTGGGCATCATTTACATTGGATTGTTTGTCCAGCAACTTTCTTTGATGGGTGCGCTATCAAAACGCATGGCCAAATGACACGGCTTGAATTGGTGCGCCGAGTCCTCATCCTGGTTCAGTGTCAAGCCGTCACGCAGGGAGTTCGAGGACTCGGCGGCGAGCGCAAAGAGGGATGTGATGTTCGCTAAGGTCCCCGAGATGAGCAAATATGTCCTTCAAGATGGAACCGACGGAACCTCTGCTGCAAAAAAAACGCCTTCGACTCTGCCTCTCCCAACTTCCAGCGGCTGGGAAGAAAACCACGTCATGTGAAACACCTCAATGGAAGATGCCCCCAAAACAGAAGGGATACCGCATGACATCATGTTTAGGCTGGGACCATCCCCAATGAACCTGTACTCGGGATGGGAGCGAAGGTAAGGATGGGGAAGACGGGGAAGACAAAAAAGCAAAGGCAAGCCCAGATTTTCCAAATGAGTCCCTTTGAGCCTTGTCATGTTAAATTGGGATTCATCGTGAGGACCTTTCTAGTCACAGGCCAAAATCATGGTTTCTCCCCTCTGGTATGGTCCTCCTTTCCATTAGTCTGGGGTGAACGTTACTCTCTCAACAAAGCGTTCCGGACTGTTCTACAGGCGGATAGCAAGGCTGACGTATGTCCCCATTTTTTGAGTGTCCAGCCGAGGCGGCGCCTGGCGTAGCGCCTCCTCAGGAGCATGACACACGCGATACTTTCCGGAAACGCTGTTGCTTTCAAGGAATTGTCAGGCATGCCTTCCGGAGGATGTATATATATATATATATATATACACATATGTATATATATATATATATATTCCCTTGTATAAGGTGAAATGCTGCATCTGATACATTGTGGTCTGTAAGCCACGACCCCTCCCCTGGCAAGCTCAGGAGCGAGCATGAGCAAATTGCCAGAACAAGCACATCACGCAAACTTTAAGCGTCACCCCAATTGAAATAAACTCAGCTTGAACTGGCCCAAACGGTAGTGATGCCTAAACTTCCCACAAACGAGAAATATAAGGAACCTTGAGAACTCCGGCAACAGGGCATCCAGCATAGCAAACTGACCTCCTGCACCTCTGAGAGCCACAATATCTATCTCAAAATCCGGGGGTTTGTGTTGAAAAGGAAAACCTGGTCAACGGGCTTGCTGCGTGTTCCCCCCGTTCCCCACGCGCCGGGCCGCCCCGCCCCCCCCCCTGTTCCCCCCGCGCCTGGTCCGGGTGTCATGCCGCGCCCCGGCGTGGCCCCCGGGGTGCCGCGCAGCCCCGGCGTGGCGTTGACCAGCGGGTTGGGCGTCACCGGGCCCGGAGTCGCCCCCGGCGTGGCGCCCGAGGCGGAACCCGGCTCCGGCCTTGGCCTCAGGCGGGTTCTATGCAAAAGGAAAAAATGTCCATCCGTTTTTCTTGGTGCCACAAATAGGGAGTAAGAAATGGAATGACCCCTATGAATATGAACCATCCCTTGTGGGTTCCTTTCAGGGAATCCCTGGGTTCATTCCCGCATTCCCTACTGAGCACCAGCAAGTTTTGTATAAAAGAGATGACTGGAAGATTGGAAACCAGCTCGATGGACCTAGTCTCTTGCCCCTCTTGGCTCTAGCTCGCCTTCTTGTCAGTCTTGGCCTTACCATTGCATTCATGCCCTTGTGTGTTGGGGAGCATCTTCCACGGGTAGGGGGCTTGCAGAAGGTCCCGAGACTTATCTTCCGAAGTTCCCAGACCTTCTCTTTGAGGCGATTTGTCGCCTAAAACATCAGAAGTTGCTTAACCCACCTCCCTGTCCGAATTTCCCTCACTTCATGTCGCGTTCGACCAGACATGACGGCAGCTGGAAGGAAGGGCGTCTCTTTTCCTCTCATCAGCCCATCATTTTCGGGAATTGAATTACAATTCCATGGAGGGAGCGATGTGATGGCATGTCCAACCTCAATCATACTGCCGGCTCTGATAGAATGGGACTGGGCAGTTGAAGTAGGACCTGAAGGACACGGCATCCCGCCCTTGGCTTCTTGGCTCTCGCAGTGCAACGAGGGAAGCCGGGGGAACAAAAGCCCTTCCTTGAGGAAGGCTCTCTCTCCCTCTCTCTCGCTCTCTCTCCCTCTCTCTCTCTCTCTCTCTCTCTCTCTCTCTCTCTCCCTTCTCACCTCGTTCGTACCCAAGGAATCGATCCAGCTGATGGAGCAAAAAGGGAAAGGAATGAGAGCGTGGAATGTGGCTCACCCATCTCCTCCCTCCTCCATTCTCTCTATACCCTTCCACTCCCTTCCTCCCATAAATCCAACCCGCCAACTTGAAGAGGGGTAGGAAGGGACAACGGAGAGAGAGCGAAGGAAGCTCTTCTCTTCACCATGCCATGCCTAACAAACCAAGTGGAAAAGGCATGGCCCACCCATTCTATAACCGCACGTCACTTGCGGCTCGCGGCCAGCCGCTCACTCGCTGGCCAGCCGCTGGGGAGGTTCTTGACTAACCGTTCACCATCTCTTTACTTCTGTTGAATGGCAAACCTTGGTTCCACCGGTGGTCCTTGGACTCCTCCAAATCAAATGTTGGTCAATCTAACAGCACTGCTTCTGTTGGATGTCCAACAAAGGGGAGCAAATTGAGGGACCCTTGCGAGCGGAATGATGCCTTCCAGCATCGCAAAGAAATCCTGACTGAGCCTCCGGCGTCACCCCAGCCTGGACCTGCAATGAAAAATCCAGTCCCAAAGCCGTCATTCTGGAGATCTCAGCACCCTGGGGTCTATGCAAGGTCGTCGAGAACATGGTTGACCTCCTTGACTTCACTTCACTTTCAACTGAGCTTGTCTGCAAATGGGGAACCTCAAAACCGCTGGATATTGTCGTCGTTTCCCTTTAACACGACCCGGGGTGCCCTCAAGAAAGACACGCCCAAATACCAAGCTTCCCCTGGCCCGAGCTCAAAGCTGTCCGCCTGAGCCTCCAGGAGCACAGGGTCCGGCCGCCTGGGAAGCGCCGGAGGTATCCGTCTTGACTTGTCAGGGCTATGATTCAATGTAGGGACACGTAAGGGAATATTGAGCCACAAGCACCAAAAGAAACGGCCACCAAGTAGTTCCACGAGCTGATGTGCGTCGTACTGGGAAGCAATTCAGGTTTGTTGGCCACTCTGTGACAACACAAGCGAGCCGGGAAACAAACTAACAAACCAAATGCACCCGGCATATCTCGCGTCCGTCTACACACAAGTGTCGTCCTTGAACATGGCTCGATTGTCACCTCCACTGATTGTCAACACTTCTAGATCGTGGCTCGCTTGCCAAGGTGACTTTGCCGAAAGCAGGCAAAGAAAGCAAAGTCTGCCAAAGGCCCTGGGACCCTCAGGATGGATTAATGTTTAATGTTGGTCACCAATGCACTAGCTGCTCGCTTCCAAAGATCATTTCTCTTTCCCCCCCAAACATTGCTTCATGTAAGGGAAACCCCTTGCAATGGCCATAACACAATGGTTGATCCTTCTGATGGGGGTTTTGAGGACCCTGACTTCTTCCATTGCTGCTGCAGGCGGGTCCACAGTTCTTGAAGCTCCCACTCCGAATCAACACTAAGTGTGGGTTCACAAAGAAGGGCAAAATTTACCACACTTGGGGAACTTTCAGGCACACCCGAGATAGACGGCTCCGGCCCCTTTAGCCTGCGCCGCGCCTCGGGGTGCGCACGGGCGTGGAGCCCGGCGTATCGCCATAGCTCTGCACCAGGCCCGCCGTGGAGCTGTCGGCCTGGGATGGCGGAAGCCGCTCGCAAGCTGCTGGCGTCCCTCGATCCATCGGGCTTTCCCCAGTTTGAGACCCATGCTTTTGAGAAGGCGCCTTGTGCCGGACGAAAAGAGGTCCCGCTTTCTTCACAGTGGTGGAAAAGGGGGTGAAGAGGGACACAGGACGACGCAGCAAGCAAGGACACTGGGGAGTAAATGAAGAGGCAAGAGCGTGCAAAAGAAGCATCTTTGGAAAGATCCAACGTCGAACGCATGGAACAAACACCTGGAATTGCAGATCCATGCAGAACACTGAAAACACCAAGGCTGAAGATGCCCGAGGAGCAATCAGAGCATGCGTGTGAAGCTTGTTAGCCAGATTGGAGCGCAGCGAGGCAGAGGGAATAGGATTCGGGAAATCAAATGAGTCCCCTGTCCCTTTGAGCCAAACCTAGGGTAACAAATGATGCTCTCGATTCCTGACGGCCTGATATGCGAGAGATGCCAAGTTGGCTGTCAGGATTGCGCTGAAGTGCTCCAAGCAGCCAGGCCATTCCAGCAAAATATCTGTTGATGTCAGGAATGAGCATGACTGCCCAATCATGAACCGAAACAACCTGGTTGAGGCTTGTTCTGCAACGGCAGCAAGTGCATTCTTCTTGAAATGCATTTCAGTGCGATATGAAGACAGGACTTCCTACGGTCAGTAATCGGTTGCTCTTTGGGCGCTTGGGGACAACTCAGGATGCGAATTTCAGGTGTGGCTCGGAGCCTGGTTTAGATTAGTTTAGATTCAACGTACCCTTTGAACGGTGAAGATGACCTCTATCGGTAAACGCAATTAGTTCTAAAATCCAGACCAAATTCTCCAGGAAGTCACAACATCACGTCTCACCCGAACATTGCACAGCTTGAAACCCTCTAATGCCCATGCAACTGCCATGCTTGATTCCTCCAAGGAGAAACATCTCCGAAATAGAAACACCCCGGTTGTTCTCAAAACTGAATGCAGGACCGGCCCACTGATGAGCTCCCCACACTCTCTGCTTGCAATGCCGCCGCATCCGCACCTTTGCCCGAAGATTGATCCGCCGAGCTTGCTTTGCCATTTCAGTGCTACGAGAACGCGCTCCGTCAAGTGAAGTTTAGGCATTGAGAAGGTCACAGAAGTGGGTAGTGGATAATTCTTGCATTTTAGGCCATGTGGAATGCATTATAATATGCTGAACAAACGTCAAACATGAACAAGAGCCAAACAAATTCCCCTCATGGCCTTCCTGCATTCGAAACAGCATCAATATTTATTGCATGCAAATAAGAGATAAGTCCATGCTTCAACTATGGCCAAGGGGAAATGGAGAGCCATGAAATCAAACCCAGCCAGCCAACGCACAGAGCAGGCCGCGGTGAGTTGCTTGTCAGATTGTGCCCGGCTAGAGTGAGGTCCCCTTTCCTCTCATGTCCGTACAAACGAGCATGTGTTTCTCTGATCTCACCATGTGCATTTTCGTGGCCGCAAAAAAAGCGGCGGCTTTCCTTGACTTAGGTCTCACTTTGGGTGTCCAACGGCTGAGTGTTAATCCAGCGCTTCAGGATTCGTTGTGTATTCGAGGCAATTTTTGAGGTTCCAAGGGAACGGGATCAGCCGCACCCTACCCGGTGCTTATCTGATGGGCAATACACATATTATGGCTGTGAGTCAAAATTAAACCAGGGAACCGCAGGTGTGTGTCCATGTTTCCCTTTATGATGGTTCTATTTTGGGTACCTATTTTTGACCCACAGCCATGTATATAATATATATATATATATGAGGAGCGGACGAAACCCTTTACTTGGCCTTAGTACTTTTTTTAACGTCATCGTTTTTGGGGGAGACCTCATCGTTTTACAGTGTTTTCGAACTTTGGCAGATCCGGCTCCAAAATCGCAACTTTCTAGCACAAGTCTAGTACGCGAAGTACACTTCCGCAGCTCCAGCTCGAAATTCGCAACTTTGTAGTACAAGTCTAGTACGCGAAGTACACTTCCGCAGCTCCAGCCCGAAAATTGCGAAATACAATTCCGCAGCTCCAGCTCGAAAAGCGAAACTTGGCAGGCAGTACAAGTCTAATACGCGAAGTACACTTCCGCATCTCCAGCTCGAAAATCGCAACTGTGCAGTACAAGTCTAGTACGCGAAGTACACTTCCGCATCTCCAGCTCAAAAATCACAACTTTGTCGTGCAAGTCTAGTACGCGAAGTACACTTCCGCAGCTCCAGCTCGAAAATCGCAACTTTGTAGTACAAGTCTAGTACGCGAAGTACACTTCCGCATCTCCAGCTCGAAAATCGCAACTTTGTAGTACAAGTCTAGTACGCGAAGTACACTTCCGCAGCTCCAGCTCGAAAATCGCAACTTTGTAGTACAAGTCTAGTACGCGAAGTACACTTCCGCAGCTCCAGCTCGAAAATCGCAACTTTGTAGTACAAGTCTAGTACGCGAAGTACACTTCCGCATCTCCAGCTCGAAAATCGCAACTTTGTAGTACAAGTCTAGTACGCGAAGTACACTTCCGCATCTCCAGCTCGAAAATCGCAACTTTGTAGTACAAGTCTAGTACGCGAAGTACACTTCCGCAGCTCCAGCTCGAAAATCGCAACTTTGTAGTACAAGTCTAGTACGCGAAGTACACTTCCGCAGCTCCAGCTCGAAAATCGCAACTTTGTAGTACAAGTCTAGTACGCGAAGTACACTTCCGCATCTCCAGCTCGATCATCGCAACTTTGTAGTACAAGTCTAGTACACGAAGTACACTTCCGCATCTTCAGCTCGAAAATCGTAACTTTGTAGTACAAGTCTAGTACGCGAAGTACACTTCCGCAGCTCCAGCTCGAAAATCGCAACTTTGTAGTACAAGTCTAGTACGCGAAGTACACTTCCGCAGCTCCAGCTCGAAAATCGCAACTTTGTAGTACAAGTCTAGTACGCAAAGTAAACTTCCGCAGCTCCAGCTCGAAATCGCAACTTTGTAGTACAAGTCTAGTACGGAAGTACAATTCCACAGCGCTCCAGCTCGAAAATCGCAACTTTGTAGTACAAGTCTAGTACGCGAAGTACACTTCCGCATCTCCAGCTCGAAATCGCAACTTTGTAGTACAAGTCTAGTACGCGAAGTACACTTCCGCATCTCCAGCTCGAAAATCGCAACTTTGTAGTACAAGTCTAGTACGCGAAGTACACTTCCGCAGCTCCAGCTCGAAAATCGCAACTTTGTAGTACAAGTCTAGTACGCGAAGTACACTTCCGCAGCTCCAGCTCGAAAATCGCAACTTTGTAGTACAAGTCTAGTACGCGAAGTACACTTCCGCAGCTCCAGCTCGAAAATCGCAACTTTGTAGTACAAGTCTAGTACGCGAAGTACACTTCCGCATCTCCAGCTCGAAAATCGCAACTTTGTAGTACAAGTCTAGTACGCGAAGTACACTTCCGCAGCTCCAGCTCGAAAATCGCAACTTTGTAGTACAAGTCTAGTACGCGAAGTACACTTCCGCAGCTCCAGCTCGAAAATCGCAACTTTGTAGTACAAGTCTAGTACGCGAAGTACACTTCCGCATCTCCAGCTCGATCATCGCAACTTTGTAGTACAAGTCTAGTACCGAAGTACACTTCCGCATCTTCAGCTCGAAAATCGCAACTTTGTAATACAAGTCTAGTACGCGAAGTACACTTCCGCAGCTCCAGCTCGAAAATCGCAACTTTGAAGTACAAGTCTAGTACGCGAAGTACACTTCCGCATCTCCAGCTCGAAAATCGCAACTTTGTAGTACAAGTCTAGTACGCGAAGTACACTTCCGCAGCTCCAGCTCGAAAATCGCAACTTTGTAGTACAAGTCTAGTACGCGAAGTACACTTCCGCAGCTCCAGCTCGAAAATCGCAACTTTGTAATACAAGTCTAGTACGCGAAGTACACTTCCGCATCTCCAGCTCGAAATTCGCAACTTTGTAGTACAAGTCTAGTACGCGAAGTACACTTCCGCATCTTCAGATCGAAAATCGTAACTTTGTAGTACAAGTCTAGTACGCGAAGTACACTTCCGCATCTTCAGCTCGAAAATCGCAACTTTGTAGTACAAGTCTAGTACGCGAAGTACACTTCCGCATCTCCAGCTCGAAAATCGCAACTTTGTAGTACAAGTCTAGTACACGAAGTACACTTCCGCATCTTCAGCTCGAAAATCGTAACTTTGTAGTACAAGTCTAGTACGCGAAGTACACTTCCGCAGCTCCAGCTCGAAAGTCGCAACTTTGCAGTACAAGTCTAGTACGCGAAGAACACTTCCGCAGCTCCAGCTCGAAAATCGCAACTTTGTAGTACAAGTCTAGTAAGCGAAGTACACTTCCGCATCTCCAGCTCGAAAATCGCAACTTTGTAGTGCAAGTCTAGTACGCGAAGTACACTTCCGCCTCTGCAGCTCGAAAATCGCAACTTTGTAGTACAAGTCTAGTACGCGAAGTACACTTCCGCAGCTCCAGCTCGAAATTCGCAACTTTGTAGTACAAGTCTAGTACGCGAAGAACACTTCCGCAGCTCCAGCTCGAAAATCGCAGCTTTGTAGTACAAGCCTAGGCTGTACGCGAAGTACACTTCCGCGCTCGAAAATCGCAACTTCTCAGTACAAGTGTCGTATTTACAGAGCCGTGTGTTCGTTAAGGGTCATCGTTTTTGGGGGAGACCTCATCGTTTTCCATGGTTTTGGGATGTGTTACTCAAAAGCGTGCCCCGTCTTGATAAAGTGGTCTACGCGTGTTTTGTCCGTGGCTCATATATTAACATATTATGCATTAGGGCCACCTACTCCACAAAGAATGGTCAACGGCTTCTTCAAGGCTTGCCACAGAAAAGCCACGCGTGAGCCGCGGCGAGGGGCCCATCTTGACGATGGTCTCCAGCTCCTCGTCGTTGAGCTGCGGCGCTGGGAGGGCCAGCGCCTCGATTCCAGTGATCCGATCGATCCGATCGATCCGATCGAGAGCTAGGATGTCTGAGGTTTGTGGAGTCTGTGCCCCATGGGAAAACCGGGGAGGATCCTGAGTTGGTGGGTTTCTTAAAAGGGAAAGCAACGGAAAGCTACGGAAGGCAATGCGATTTGCGGAGGTTCCCTATTTTGAGAAACAAGGTAAACAAGGCCATTTATGTGTTGGCATCTGGGCAAAACGCTAAGAGGTCAAGCGCTATGACTTCGGCTTCTGGACGAAAAAGCCAGCTGGGGTGTAGAGTGTTCTTCACTCAGCAAAGCCAAGCTCCAAGTCTTGCATCTCAAGTCGACCAGATGAATTATGTCAATGCTAACAAGAGCAGCGCCTCAGCCTGAGCGCCTGAGCGCCTGCTCAGACTGCGAACTGCTAACACATTCTGCTTTGATAGCCTTCACTTGGCAGGAATTCTGGCAAATAGACGTCTGTAAACGGGTTGCAGAAACGGATTTCACGCATTCGTCGACAGGCCCAGGTCTGTTGCAGCGCTAAGCGCGGGGCCGTGCGCTTGTGCAGTTGCTGGGGGTCCTCGGCTTCGGGAAAAAGCATGGATGGCAAAAAAGGGTCCCTTTCTGCGCTAACAAAAGTTGATTTCGATTATCTCCATGACTACTGCAACACTGGAAAGGGGATTGCAGCAGAAAGTGGCAACCTAACCCCACCCAATCGCCCCTGTATTCCACAGTCATGAGCCAGAGATGCTGATGACTCCCTCCAACGGTTGTCAGGGGCTCCCAACGGGGGAATCCCTCAAAAACAGAACCAAAAGCAACCCGATTGCACTCATAAGGCCTTCTAGCCGTTGACAACTGTAGGAAAACTTGATTTTACCGCATGTGTGTGTGTGTGTCTGTCTGTCTGTCTGTCTGTCTGTCTGTCTGTCTGTCTGTCTGTCTGTCTGTCTGTCTGTCTGTCTGTCTGTCTGTCTGTCTGTCTGTCTGTCTGTCTGTCTGTCTGTCTGTCTGTCTGTCTGTCTGTCTGTCTGTCTGTCTGTCTGTCTGTCTGTCTGTCTGTCTGTCTGTCTGTCTGTCTGTCTGTCTGTCTGTCTGTCTGTCTGTCTGTCTGTCTGTCTGTCTGTCTGTCTGTCTGTCTCTGTCTGTCTGTCTGTCTGTCTGTCTGTCTGTCTGTCTGTCTGTCTGTCTGTCTGTCTGTCTGTCTGTCTGTCTGTCTGTCTGTCTGTCTGTCTGTCTGTCTGTCTGTCTGTCTGTCTGTCTGTCTGTCTGTCTGTCTGTCTGTCTGTCTGTCTGTCTGTCTGTCTGTCTGTCTGTCTGTCTGTCTGTCTGTCTGTCTGTCTGTCTGTCTGTCTGTCTGTCTGTCTGTCTGTCTGTCTGTCTGTCTGTCTGTCTGTCTGTCTGTCTGTCTGTCTGTCTGTCTGTCTGTCTGTCTGTCTGTCTGTCTGTCTGTCTGTCTGCATGTGTGTGGAATCATGCAATGCTGAGGCAGCAAGGCACTCCTGTCACACAATATCATGGGTAGGAATCTCTTATAAATAAGGTTTTCGGCCTATGGTAGCCCAAACTGGCCGTGGAGCGCCTGTTGAGAACCGGCCAAGACACATTCAATTTGTTCATCATCTCGATGGCCTGTGGTAGATTCTCTTCCTTCAGGCCTCAGGTGTTTTGCGGTCCAAGGGCTCAACCACCAAGTCCTGGTGTCCCTGACTTGCAAAAGCAGCAGGGAGTACCAAGTCGTGGAATGACAGCATGGCCCGTAGCGATGTGTGGCATCAAGAAAGGTCCCTCATATTTGTTTGGACAACTCAAATGGGAAAATGCGAATGCTTCGATTCAGTCCGTCATTGTTGGAGTCCGAAGGACATGAGTGATGCGATGTGCGAGAAAGCATCGCATTGGTGTGGTGTGTGTGTGTGTGTGTCTCGAAGCCAGGGAGAACTGGGTGGTTTCCTTTCGGCTCTTCCTTTTGACCCCCAATTTGGTTGTTTTAACACAGGCAACTCCAATTATGGGCTTCGGTTTCCCTTTGCTGTCCAGGCGTGACCAGAGTCTCGGGCGCTTTAGCTTCCGCTCATCGTCCTTGCGCCTTCGCTTCTCCTCGTCCAAACGGCTCCGGTTCTCGATCGCCTGTGGGCAAAAACATGCTGCGGCAGCTGGCATCTGGGATTAGCAGGTTGTGAGGAGAGCCACCTCCCACCTTGCCCATAGCAGTTGTAAACTGCATGGTCCCTTCCAGAGTCGATTCATGTTCCGGGCGCTCTCCTACAGGTGCTATGTGGGGGGTCCTGTTTTGGGAGAACACGTTTGGTTGATTCGCTGATTCGAAAAGGCAGCCAAAAGGAAAGCTTAAAGCAACCATTTGCAGGGTCCAGATCACATTTCTATCGCCAAGGCAATGGATGGATGGCTCGCACCCAAAACAAGAGTCACACAGTTTTCTTTGCCGGTTCTTGGCATGGGCCAGTTGCAACTTGGCAGTTCTGCAAATGAAACTTACAATTTTTCACCTAGAACTAACACGTGGGTGTACTCCAAATGCTTGGCTTCCTTTTCCTAACACGTCAACCCGTATCTTTGTATTTGTGGGGTGCCTTACCCTCTGCTTCTCACGCACCTGGAGCCGCACGTTTGCAAGGCCCATGGAGATCTTTGGAGTCTCCTGGGGCAAACCACGCACTCCCATCCAAGGAGAACATAGCGCATGTCCATCACGCCAAGTTCAAAGAGTACGAATTTGTCTGACCACTGCATCTGTCAGGTTGTTCAGCAAAAACAACTGCGTCAAAAACACTAGCCCGAAGAAACAAGCAAGACGAGAAAGAAAGAAACAAAGAAAGAAAGAAAGAAGGAAAGAAAGAAGGAAGGAAGGAAGGAAAGAAAGAAAGAAAGAAGAAAAAAAAGAAAGAAGGAAAGAAAGAAGGAAGGAAGGAAGGAAGAAAGACAGAAAGAAAGAAAGAAATATGTAAAGAACGAAGAAGAGAAGAAAGGGAGGAAAGAAAGACGCACGGAACAACAAACAGGAAGAAACCAACAAATTACGCTGCTGGGACATTGCAATTGTGCTGATCGGCATGTGAATTATGCAAGCAACACGCATAGCCGCATAGCATATGCTGATGCCAAGCACATCGCATGTTGAAACAATAGATCACAGCATGCCAGTTGCATCCAAGTTCGTCAACATCACGCGGCAAATAAACAACATCGCGAAAAAAAGGCCTGGTCGCATCGTATGAGCTGCGGTGCCCGCTTTGGTTGGTGTGGAGGGGGAAACCCAAGAGGACCGGATCTATGAACTTGGGATATCCGCTTCTCTATGGACCCCGCGTTGATTTGAGAAGTGAAGCCCCAAAGAAAGCCGGAAAAACGCGGCCAAGGCGTCGAAACCGGAACTCCTCAGGGCCGACCTCGTGGAAGCCCACGGGCGGCTGAGCCTCGCGTCCGTAAAGGGGTCGCCTTATGGGTACAGCCTTTCTGCAGGTATGACCCCCAGCCGCACTACATCTGCAAATGTACAGGGCCGCTATGCATTTATTCTAGACACGACCTTCGTACCGCTTTTTGTTGTTCCTTTAAGGTTACATCACCTTGACACTGATATAACCTTGAAGAAATGTATGTAACCTTTTGTATGGGTGGCATTTAGGCTTAAAACCATTTTTAGGGGTAGATGACCTTTGAAATGGAATACAATACGGAATCATTGAGTTTTTGCATGCGGCATATATCCTTTGCACCAGGTACATGTGTGTGTGTGTGTGTGCGCGTGTATGTGTGTGTTATACGTGGTATGTAACCTTGACACGGGGCACACGGCCTTTGTAAAGGGACACATCTTCCAAAAGGCAAATGAATGGCATACTGAAAAACAAATGTTGGGGCTCCTTAAACCTATTGGACCTGGTACAAGGACAAAGTACTGCCAGCTTGTTTGAATCACGCTTTGGACATGCAGCCAATCCCAACCATGGAGTCGCCAGAATTAGCACGAAAACGTGAAAGAGATGACAATCCTTAAGTACTGGACACGGGCAAACAAGCATCCAACACTCATCAAAGACTGACCGTACATGTCCACGTATGAACTCGTGGTAGTTTGGGGTGCATACCAGCCAGGGCTTATATGAAAAGTCCATTCGACAGCCATGGTGCTTCCATCGCGAACAAACGATGCCCTGCGGCCTCAAACGGCACTTCCTCACCGTAGTCTATGAACTTCCGCGACTTGTACCTAATGCGGTGCGATGCCTTGTCCAAGGAAGACCCTCCAGCGTACATTCTAAACTGGGCATCCATTCCCTACCCCCAAAGCGACTCTATAGAATACGAATCAGATTCCTCTAAAAAAGTTTTCGGTTTCCTGCAGAAGAACTAAAACTGAAACTTGGACCCCCTCTGCTCGCCTTTGGGTTTCCGCGAACAAAGACACTATGGAACGAGGAATCCTGATTGGACACGGGACACCAAAAAGAAAAACACCACTTGGATGGGACCCTTAGTCCCTTCTGGCACAGCCATTCGCTTGGCGCTCGCTCATGGTCAATGGACTTCCTTAGTGTCTCAGGTGATCATGTTGGCTTAGTGCGCAACCACAAGGCCGCCGTGTTGGTCCAGCTGCAAAAGGAACCAAACTTGAAACAAAACAATTCGCAAGGTCCCTTTTGACACGCAGCCATGCGACTCCGCAAAATGTGTCACTCTTGGCAACCCCTCCACTACAAAGAATAAAAATGAACCCAAAAAAGAAAAGTATCACACACCAAGAGCCGTGCAGAAAGCGCATCATCCTTCACTTGACGGCCCATGTCACCCACGTCACCCGTGCCACCCGTGGCGCGCGCCCCACATTTCGGGGGGGGCACCGTCTGGCTGTGGAGATGCCCGCAGCCTTCAGCTCACGGCCTGAGGCCCGGGTTCTCCCTGTGGGTGAACGCAATCCACTTCGCACCACTTGGAAACCATGAAAAACCCATTGCTTGCCGGTATTTACAGGGGGAATCATCATTTTTTGGTTTTTGGGTGGTGCAGGATTTCGTCCATCCACAGTATCCCAAGCGATTTGCTTCAGGTGCTTGAGACCCAAACCATTCATTGGGGCGATTGGCTTTTGACCGGTGGCATCATCCCCCCAAAAAGAGTTTCCCTAAGACAGACCCATCTGGGGGTAGCCAGTTTTGGCGCATGGAGTAGTCTGGTGTGTAGTCTGGTGTTTGAAAAGCAGAAAAACCTTGTTGCCCCCTTCCGGGACCCTCAAAACATGGCGGTGTCCAAAAAACTGGGGATGGATTCCTTTGGGATGTGCTTTGCTTTCGAGAGGAAATTAAAGAAAACCGAAAAGCGACACGGAGGGGAGCATCCCTAAATTCAAGAAACATCCCAATGCTTTCCAGTGAAACCTGGGCCGGACCGGTGGCCTTTGTAGCTGAGGCTGATCTCCAACCGTCCGGCTTGAGAGCAAGAGGCAATTAGCTTTTTCCAATAAAGCCTCTTGGAAGGGTCAACCAACTGGCATGTAGCGTGGTAGACAATCACTTCAGAACGCTAAAAAAAATCACTTGTGAACGCTGCCACTTTCGATCACTTCCGAACACTAAAAAGATCACTTCAAAACACTGAGCACCCGGAACGCCGAAAGGGTTGCAAAACCCGGTCAGTCAAAAAGATCACTTCCGAACGCAGGCGTCCCAGCCCAGGATCACTTCCGTACGCAGGCAGGCGTCCCAGCCCAGGTGTGCAAAATCTAGTGGTTCTGGGGGGGGTGGGGGGGGGGTGATAAGCACACCCGCTGAAGCTCTACACCCAAATGTGCAAATTCATCTGGTTCTGGGGGTGGGGGGTGGGGTGGGGGGGGTGGCATGATAAGCACACCCGCTGAAGCTCTATCCCCAAATGTGCAAATTCATCTGGTTCTGGGGGTGGGGGGTGGGGTGGGGGGGGGGGCATGATAAGCACACCCGCTGAAGCTCTATACCCAAATGTGCAAATTCATCTGGTTCTGGGGGTGGGGGGTGGGGTGGGGGGGGGGGGCATGATAAGCACACCCGCTGAACCAGCAAGGGTGTGCAAAATCCAATCAATTTGTTCTGGGTGGGTGGGTGGGTGGGGATGATAAGCACACCCGCTGAAGTGAACCAGCCCAGCCTGCTCTGTAACCAAATGTGCAAATTAATCTGGTTCTGGGGGTGGGGGGTGGGGTGGGGGGGGGGGGGCATGATAAGCACACCCGCTGAACTGCTTCACCAGCAAGGGTTTGCAAAATCCAATCAATTTGTTCTGGGAGGGTGGGGGGGGGATGATAAGCACACCCGCTCAACTGAGCTCTAACGAGGGCAATTCTCTGCGGCTCTGCAAGTTGCTGTGAACATGCGGTTTCCGAAGACAACACCTGGTGGGTCCCTCCCTCCCTTTCTCCCCCAAAACAAACAGAGTTTCCCCAAACATACCCCAAACTTTGCTCTAGGTCAACGAGGCCAAACGCCAGGCTCTGCAAGCTGCTATGAAAGCGCGTGGATGCGGGGTGCCGATTCTTCTGGCCCTAGCGTTCAAGAGCGAAGCGCTCGCTGGTCTCGGTGCAGCGCGTGGCATGCGGCTGCGCTTTCAGCGTTCGTAAGCGACTAGTGCGTTTTCCGGCGTTCCGAAGCGATTATTAATCAGCGTTCCGAAGCGACGGTTTTCCCAGCGTTCAGGAGCGACGCACTCACCTGTAGCGTGACAGGGAACTCAAACACCTTCAAAGGGACAAGTCTTCACCCCTAGTTCTGCTTACCATTTGCGTGCAAGAGGGGGCTGGATGGGGTTCAAATCCCCAAACCACCCATTCACAGGGCATAAGGTAAGTAGTGGCCATGGTATTAAGCATCCACCTAACAACACGGCAAGCCGACAAGAGGAGCCCAAACTGGTAAAGAGAACCAGCAAAGGTACAAGATCCAAGCATGGAGTCTGATCGAGCACTTGCTTTACAGGCATCATGTTCTTGAGTGAGCAAATTCTCATGGTTGCTAGCGGCTGAGGCACCACTATTAGCCCGTATTGCGATTGAGGAGCACCTTTTGACAGTTGTTTTGTTTTTGCTTTTTTGGGGAGAGGGGAACAACCAATGCTCGAGGCATAAAGAGAGGAAGCCCATATCGCTCACTCGATGAAAGGCACCACCTATCCGTGAAACAGGGGCGAATGCATGGGACTCAATCATTGCGAGGTGGGCTTCGAACAAAGGAGACACTCTGCAAGCATTGAAAGCGGCGAATTGAGCTCCACACACACACAAAAGGCGGTTTCCTTGAAACAGATCTGTTAAAAAGCCTGAGTTGTTCCTTTAAGTTGAACAATAGTGAACGGTGTGTGAACTTCTCGCAAAGCCATCAGTTCAGAAACTCTGACACGATTCATGCATGCCACGGGCGCTGAGAAAGTGTTGCGCCCACTACACAAAGACTTTATTAGAGTAGTTCAAGCCAAGTGTCACGACCGAAAACACGGGTCCTCAAGGCGTGCTGGCGGAATATGGATCATGGTCATTCCGTACATTGCCTCACTGTCTTATGATTCAAGAATTCCACCCGGACCCCAGTGATGGCGGGGGCGACGGGCACCAGGCGTGCTCCCCAACCAACCCGAGCCGAGCCAGAGAGGTGCTCCGTCTGCGGCCCCCGGCGCTTCTGCAAAGCCGCCAGGCGCCGGGCCTCCTCCAGCTGCTTCTCTCGCGCCTCGCGCGGTCGAGCTTTTTTCACACCAAAAACTCGCACAGCTTTGTCTCAAGATGAGGCGCTTTACGCTCCCAAAAGTTCTTTGTGTTTTCTTCAGTTTCCGTTTGCCTTCCCGGAAGAAGAAGAAACCGAAACGGGGTGACGCAAACAAAGAACACCCTGAAACCTGAATCCAAAACTGTCGCGATGGCTACTGCCACTACTGCCTGAAGACGCTACAGGCGCAAGTGATACTTCCCTCCCAAGCATGGACGTTTTGAAACATGAAGCCGCAATGATTGATCCTTCTCAAAACGGAAATCTAAGGACTCCTGAACAATGAACACGTAAGTAGCGCTGCAAATGGCCGCCGTCGCCCCCACTTCTTTGCTTTTGTGCATGTCCATAAGGCACTTCCTCCATCCCAGGCGCCTTCCTCTTGGCTTTCTTGCCGCGAGTGTTGGCCAGCCTCGCCCGTGCCTGTCTCAAGACGCGAGCGATACTGGCTAGCTCGAATGGTCCATTCGCTTCACGCATTGAAGAACCAAAAAACACATCTGCAGTGGCACGTGGGTGTCTTTTGGAAGGTACCTCTGTTGGGGATGTGTTAAGCAAATCACAGGAAAACCGGCAATTTGGGGATTCCCCGTTTCAAGATAAAACCCAGGTGAATTCAAGACAATACCCAGACTCTCTACACCTTCAAGCTTTTACATCACCTTCTTGAGAGTCTGACTTGACTGCCAAAGACAAAAATCCCGCCATCCAACTCAAACAAAATGGGCCTACACACTTGAATCGAGGTTGTGACATGAGTTAAAAGCCGGTGGCTGGCCTCTGACAACATCTCCTTCTCGTCTTCGTCCATGTCTATGGGGTCAGCCCTGTGCCGCTGCAATCGATGCAGAGTTGCGTCCTTTGGGGTTCCTGTCTGGTGTTGGGACGGCACATGCTCTGCTGCTGCACACAGCATACAGAGCACGACTTCACCAAATCCCCTTGGACCAAGCGCAATGAGCTTCGAGCAGCTGCGTGGGAAGTATTGATCCCTCTTTGGCTGTTCCGTTTTCTCATTTGCTCATCGCTAAAAGCGGTCCAAGCCCACGCCTAGCAGGCTTGGTCTCGGGATGCGGGTCGATCTCACCAGGCCTCAAGCAGGTGAAAGACAAGTGTGTCTCCAAAGGAGCGTGATCGAGAATGTGCAAAGGCAGATTTCCGTACCAATTCATGGTTGGGACTGCTACACGAAATTTGGTTGGGTTTTTGAGACTGGCTGAAATGAGGTGACACGCAAACTCGGGCTCTGTGTCCCTTTTCTTTCCCTTGAAAACGATGCCAAAAAGGGTACTCTCAAAATACCCAAACACATACCCACTTCAGCCTGTTGACACTCATGTCGAAATGCTGGAGTCATCTTACCAAAGTCCGCCAAACCTCCAAGCAAAGCGACAACTCCCAGCGCCCGGCTTCAGCCGACGGGGGTCATTCTCGTCCATCTCGTCCTTGCCCTCTGCAAGCAGCGCTGTTGCTGTCATGGTGCTCACTGAGGGGATTCCGATTCTCCAGGACCCCCTCTTCTTGCTGGGTATGAATGTCGGGACACTCTTTGTCTGGCTCAAAATCGATCAGAAAGGTCGATGTGCTTGAAACGCGACAAGTCCGCGCCTGCGCCTGATCCAGCAACTTCTCATAGTGCTCCAGGCACTGGTAGGCTGTTCTACCTCTGGTCAGCCCTGAAAATTTTGGGTTTCTTTGGGTTTTTCCATTGAAGCCTTTCAAAAAAACATGGGTCTGTTCAACCAAAAAGAAAGACGAGGTCAGTTAGATTTTTGCATCTTCGCTGGTAGATTTTTAGAAGACCGGGTGCCTCTTGGCCCTGCTCGCATTGGAACCTCTCGCCTGCCGTGCTGGACTTCCTCTAGCCCCACAGGCGCACAAAGCCTTTCAACGTGGAAGAATTGCTGACCTTGGCTTCTTCCCTTCACAAGTCGAGTGGACCTCAATGTCTCCATGTGTCAAAAGGGCCCGGCTAAGTGGGCGTTTTCGTTTTGGTTTCCTGTCCCCCTCATTTCTGGTGCAAACTTGGGCAAACCAAAAGCACATCGAACATCTCAGGATTTCTCCGATGGAAACACCCCCGACGTTCGGTCCAGGGTCGGATCCGAGCGGATCCCGAGTCCCGGGCCCACGATGGGCGCGATGGTGCGCCACTGAGTGGGGAAGAGCTTGGCGAGGTGCAGCAGCTTCTCCTGCCGCGTGGCTGCATGTGTGCTGTTCGCTGAGCTAACCACGAAATCCCCTGGATGTTTCAGGTTAGGGAAACAAGGAATAGTCGCAAGGTTGGAAGGTGGAAGGTCGCAAAGGGGAACCAAGCTCAAACTTGCAAACAACAAGCACATCCACTCCAAAGCACCTCTGGAAGGCCTGAAAAATCAATTAATTCCCTCTTAGGGACCATTCTCCTGGTGGCATGTTGGTGAGGGTAGGCTCTGACTGCCCGCCATGTCCATCCCACGAGGGAGAACCTCTGATGCCCCGCCTCCTCCTCGCGGGTCCACTCAGTCTTCTTGACGCTGGGATCCAGCCTTCAGTTTGGATTGGGCTTGAAGCCGAAAGATGTTTCTGATGCTTCATCCCAGGTGCTGGATCCGCTTCACACGTGTGGAGGTGTTAACAGCAATCAGGCTCTAAGCTAGTCAGAAAGAGCCAAACTCGCATTCTGATCTTGGTGAATTGCATTGAGAACTCTTCACTGGCATTAAGTGGTTCCTTGTTTGGTCAGAGGTCACACCTGCTCCACCTGTGCATTCGGGCACGAATCAATAAGGAAATGGTAGCGGTGTTCAGAGTGTCCGCGCGATTTGTGGTGCCACTGCAAAGGATGGGTGTGCAAGCAGTTCCGCTGATTGTAGGGTTTGCCTGCGCCAACGCGCAAAACACCCTTTTGCACTAGGTTAGGAATGAAGGTTCCTATGAACAAAACTATTGCCCTGACCTAGAGCTTTGACCGCACTCAAGAGTTGTGCTTTATCGTGTGAGCAACGGGTGCTTGGCTCAAAATGTGCCGTCACAAAGCACCCCATGAACTTGCCAGCACCATCACAGTACTCAGAAACTCGAGCCAAGGTCAATATTCATGGGCCCCCCTGATGTTTAAACCCGATTGTCCCCATGGCTTGGGGCTGTGCCCATCTCATCTTCGCTGCTCATAGGCCCTGGCCATTCGTACCATCTGGACTTGCACTGCTTGGGGCTCTTCCTGGCCGGTGCTGATCACGTGGGGCCAGGTTAGGTTGAGAACATTCCCACTGAGCCCATCAGGGGAAGTTCCAACACACCGCATGTGCGCTTCTTCCAGAGCAAGTGCGTTCACGTATTGGTCCGCATCTTGGCGGTTTGGGAGTCGCTTCCGGGCAAATAGCATCTGCTTTTAGTCCGCGCAACACCTCTCGAGGCTCACAAATACCAGAAATAGCAGCCGCCCAGAACCCGGAAGATCGAGCGAAAAACGCAGACTTGTAAGCTGGAAGCTCCAATTGCCCATGGCCCTCCCCACCCCCAAGACGCGCGCGCCCACCTGGCCAAGAGGGAGGCGACGCGCGGCCAGTTGTTGAGGCCATATTTCATGACCGCTGCCTGGCGCGACGCCCGAAATGGCTTGGATGCAGTTTGCTTGTCCTCCGACGAGTGGATCCGCAAAAGCAGTGAGACCGCACCCTGGAAGTGCTGTCTGGGACCCAGCACGGTAGCAAAAACAACGTGTGAAATCTATGGATGAAGGCTTGGCTCATTTGCCTGTTGCCTGCCTTAATGTGTCACAAGGCGTCCCGCACCAAACATTGCCTTAAACACAAGAAAGCCTCCCCCACGCCATCAGCAAACTCACATCAAAACGCCTGAATGGTCTGGCGTTCGTATTGAAGTCTCACTGAAAACATGCCGCATGCCCTTCAGAACCGTCCTGCCAAAATGCTAGCACAATTGGTTGAAGACTGAGAAGCCCAAACTGCTGCACGCTCCTGGCCTTGAGGACTTCATCCTCCGAGTTCTTCCAAACACCTCCCTTAATGAGGATCCTCATCTTCCTGGCGCACGGCACAGCCAAACCTCAAGCCACTCTCTCGAACATGTTCCGGTGGTATTTTCACCGCCATTTCAGGGTGTCAATATGCAGTTGATCAGCCATGCGTGTCATTCAATCGGCACATGGGAAACTCAGCCTTATATTCCCTGGGTCTCCCAAGACTCACAGGGAGCCTCGCCTTGCGGCTCACCTCCGAGGCCGTCGCCCGGGCTCCCGCTGGCCGGGTATCGGAGAGAGATCAAAACGCTAGCAGGTCTGCCGGTCAGAACTTGGTCGGATCTTGGTGAGTGGTGGTTCACTTGGGTCTTGCCAGGGCTAGCGCTAAGCAACTTGACACTTGCTGATGTTCTACTCGCTTCCGATGGTCTGTCCATGTGCGCACATGCGGCTGCTCTCCTGAGCCCAAAGCCATGGAAAATTCGTGAGGCCCCCCATGTCCTTCCAACATTAGATTGCTGGACAAGTTGACCACATCAAGAAGCCGAAGATCTAGCTTTCCAGATTTGGCAAGCGTTTTGGTGAGTGTAGCCCACGTCACCCACGTTCACAGCCATTGCCACCTGCAACGTGGCCGCTGCCATTGGTGGTTGCGAATCGGACCTGCGAATCATTGCGTTGACACGTGTGAAAGTCCTCTGATCAGCTCGTAGGGACTCCTTGCAGCAGAGTACATCATGCGCGGGGCTGTCAAAGGCGTGGCGCCGTTTTGGAGCGAGCAGGTGCCGTTCCTTCGTTCCTTGTGCCAGGTGTTGGAGGTGAGTGCCAGGTTTTGTGCCCGAATGTTGACCGCCTTGTTCGATTGCACGAAAACCGCGACCCACAGGTCTGATCATTCAGCTTGAGTGGCTGTTGCATCCCGCAAGTTTGGTGCCACAATGTTCAGCTCACCGGCACGAAAGGACGAGTGGCACACCCTGCCAGCCATTTTTCACCCGCTCTTGTAGCGAACATGCAGCGGTAGCTACGGAATCTAGTCCTAAGTCGTGTCCCAAAGGCCAGTCTAGGCTCAGGCAACAGCAGTGGCGTTCACAACCACCTGCCCCATGTGGGACTCGCCGGTGGAGGACACAGGCTCCTAGCATACTCAAGGCATATTCATCAGATCCATCCTGATGCAAACTACTTCACTTCTTCACCTCGGACCTTGCCTTCCCTGTGACCCATGGCATGCCTTGGGCTCTCTACATTTCCAAACCTGCGAACATCACACCAACAGAAAACACACCATACTTAAATTCGGGTTCAACACTTTACTTGGAACCCGAAGTCTTCCATGACCAATTCTACGGAGTACCTATGCGGATGGCACGAAAAGCCTTGTCCTTAGCGGTCACAAGACGTCTCGGCCAGCCGAAACATGAAACCTGAAATGAGTTCGGCCTGGCTCATGGCGGTGCCATCCACCTCCATGCTGCACCAGCTTGTTGTGCAGGCGCCTTAAGGAGGCTCTGTGGGGCTTTCACAAAATGCAACAAAGCTTTGACAAAAGTGCAAAATTGCGGGGATCCCCCGCCTTTCGGTGTCCTTTTAAAGGTCTCCAAAACCCAAGCCACAGCCAAAAACGCGCCCTATTTCACGACTGGAGCCTGGCCGGGGGTCGGATGTTTGGCTGCGTATCCTGAGCCAACAAAGAAAGGGAGTCGGATGTTTGGGGGCACACGCAGAATTTATGCTCTAAGGGCAGTAGCGCGCTTCGGTACTGGACCAAACACACGCACGCAGAAAGCTGATCAGGAACCCAAAAAGAGCAGCGGACCCAAACACGTCAATATCTTCAGCTGGCGCATCGGAGAGCAAATAGCGCACACTTTGGCCGGCGACTCGCAATAATAAATTAGAGGAAAATGCGAGTCCGAAAAAGAATATGAGTCGTTTCCATTCATGAGATTCCCCGTCCAGGGGTGTTCTCGGCGGTGGACTTTGCAATAGTCAACAAAAACTGCTCACGGCTCCGTTTGCTGCAGATTGTCAACGAGACACGCGCAGATCATACACGGCCTCGGCCCAAGTACACCTCCTTCCAGGAGCATCCCTTCCACAAGTCCAGGACAAAGTCGGGGCCGCGCTCGCGGCCACATTCAACTAGCAGGGTTGCAGTGGTTCCTATTGGGGGGCCACCCGTCTTTGATCATGTGACCCAAAAAGAAGAAAAAAAACGGAAACCGCCCTCAGCTCCCTGTCCAAGGGGCCAAAGACGCAGGTGCCGTCCACGAAGGGAGCCAGCGCCAGGTACCGGGCAGCCCCCTTGGAGCTGCACTCCTCGGCACATCCCAACAACCTCCGCGTTTCGGACTCCAACGACCTCGTTGGGCGACTTATTGGGTAACAACATCCCAAGAATGCTTGTAAGCTCTAGCCATTTTGGCATGGCCTTGTTTTATTCCAGGCCCGACCTAGGGAACAAGTCTCTAGCTCCTCCAGGAACCTTACCCTTGCGCGGAAACAGAAAATCAAGTCGGCTGGCATCTCCCTTTGGGAGGACCGCTTCTTGGGCGTGTCATGATCGCAGGAAGTACTTTTCGGCCTCGTGGGTGCGGATGGACGCATATCTCGCCAAGGCACGACCGTCGTGGATTCCGCCGTGATGCTGCCGCACAGCCTGGGCAACGAGAAGTGCCCAGCCCAGTTTCGCAATGCTCGATCCATCCGTAGCGATTTGTAGATTCGTGTGCAGGCCGGATGGTTGATCGCTATCTAAACAACTGGCTTTGTCCATGTGCGACGTTGGTTGCCGATTTTGAATTGGCCGCATCCACCTGCGAATTCTGACAAAGTAGAGACCCCTGCGGGTCCACAGGCGTGCGCTCCCCGGGCGGCTCTCTCTGCCAAAGGGCGAGCTGGAGCTCAGAATGCCGTCGTTGGGCCCCACGTCGGTGAGGTAGACCTTGATGCTGGCGATGCCGGGCTGGGGCATGGCGGAGACCTTGCCCACCTGACAGCATCCCCGAAGCACAGGCGTATTTCTCTATGCGCAAAGCGCAAAACCCTTGTTTATATCCATATGCATGTGCATTACACATATATGTGTTATATGTATATTCATCTATATCGGTATACTTGCGGAACATGGTCCAAGGTTGGGAATGGCAAAACACCTCGCTCCGACTCTGCAACATACGAAGACACAGCCGCACCGCAGCCAGTTCCATGGCAGAGCCAGAGGTTTTCTGGGCACATTGGTTCCGATGCTTCTCTGGGGGAGTACTGGCAGTTCCCAAACAAAGGCCGCGTCCAGGCACCCGAGGTGCCCAAGCGGCCGGGAAAACGTGGCAAAGAGCACCAAACTAAAGCATGCCCATACCTATATATATATATATATTCATATATTAATATATATATATATATATGTAGTATATACACATGTGACATATGTGTATATTAAATGTATATATTATACACAGATACATCTTCATGTGATTGTATATATACACCCTGATTGAGCACACACAAATGGTGTATGCAGGCACGGGCTCAATCCCAAGCCCAACAGGTTGACACCGGCAACCCGTGGCTTTAGTCAAGAAACGGCATTCGTTGAATGAAGGTTCTTGTGCTGCTCTGCCGGGGAAGCTGGTCAACAACTTTTTGCAAGACCGCCTTCCATACTGCTGTTCACTTCCACGACAAAGGATTTGTCAAACATGGGCTGGTATTCCAAATGTCGGTTTGTCCAAAAACCGTAAGTTTCGGAATCCGACAGGGTGGCACCGGACGGCAGCCCTTCAACTTCTATGGGAGGTTTATGTTGGGCTGAAAGTTGGAGCCACAATGTGGGCTTGTTGTCTAATATCATTTGTTGAGGAATCCAACAATGCTTGGCACTAAGGGGGCAGGTGAGCGGAAATGGGCGGCAGCCCAAAAAGTAGCAAAAATCACCAACTGGAAGTTCGAAGCAAGGAGTTCCCTGGTAAAGGATCTTGGATATGGGACTGGGTGATCTCATCTTGCCCTCAGGTGAGCTCATGTCCATTTGCAGATTTCAAGAAGCACACCTCTGCTCCCCACACTTAAGCTCATCTGCCAAGCTCCATACTCATACGGCGCCTAAAAGTGGGGAGGTTCCATCCGAGGGCGTCAAATGCCTAAGGCCCATCTTTGGAGGCGCAAAAAAGTGGCACCGAGCCGCATCCTGAGACGAGCCGAGGTCCCAGTAGACCGCGGTAGCCAAGGATGCCTTCTTGAAGCACTTGCTCGAGACCTATGGGCCGACCGTTCAACCCCCTCTGGTCGCACCAAAGAGCATTCCGATAGGAAACAAAAGAAGAGAGACGCGCCCAAACTGCCCATGCCGGCACAAAATTGACGTGGATTTGTTGAACCATCCGTAATATGTTTGAATTGAGTGGTATTCTATGGGTCTGCCCAAACCAATGCAAAGAATTCAAACGACGGAGAGCTTTCCGAACCTATTCACTGGGGATCGTCCCCTACTTCACCTCATCTACCCGTCCGATTCGATTGTATCCTCCAAATGGGGCTACCCAAGTCAACTGATTGCCACGGAATTGAGCAGCGCTCAAAGCCCATCGACTTTGGGTTCGAAACCCAACATGGTGATAAAGGTTTACGTAGGCTGTGAAAACCTGGCCAATAGGAAAAGGCCCTGAGCTCCCAATTTCTTTCTTACGCGCCAATCTCAGCCCAGGCTGCCGTGGTCTTCTCCACCACAGACGACGAGGCCTCAGCACTCAGCGGACGCGGGCAGCGGGCGGAATACTCTGCAGATCCTAAAGCCATTGCTCCGGCCCTACCAGTGATCATTGCAATGGAATCAGTTTCGGACCCGGGGCTCATTTACATGTTGGAAGGCTTTCTCAATTCAAGATCCTACGCATACCTCAAGGTTCTCTGCACCATTGAAGTTGGAAGGGAAATGGGACCAGTTTGGCATGCCACCTACAGAAAATCTAGGCGTTTACGGTGAGCGCCAAGGTGCGTGCGGTGGGTCGTTCTGGGCAGCCTTCCAGCAATTTGAGGACGAGGACGAGGCAAGCAGGGAAGAGAGACGCGAGATTCCCCAAGAACAAGGCTGCTCCGAAAGTTGAGGATCAATCAGCCGGATGCAGTGAGGTCGACTGCGAAGGGGACACGGAGGAGGGGTGCATCGAACCTCAGAGGCCCAGAAGAGGCAACAAGGGATTGCAGCCGAGGAGAAAGAAAATCGACAAGAGGCAAGGAGGCCTCAAAGGAGCAAGGCTTTAGCGGGCCGGCCAAGGGGCAGGCGCAGCACTTTCGCAAGGTCGAGTACAGAATTCCCGACAGGTGCAGCGCTGTCGGAAGGTCAGGTACGGATTTCCAGCCCGTGTGCATTTGTTCACAGGCAAAGGCAGAGGTTGGCTTTGAAGTACATGCTGAGGATCCGGCAACAATATAAAATGTGAACCGCCTGAGCCAAGCATTTGCCCTAATCCCTATGAAAGGCAACTCCAACAGAGGGAGTGACACCGAGACAGAAAGACGGCGAGAGAAAGAGACAGCGAGAGAGCGAGAGAGAGAGAGAGAGAAAGAGAGAGAGAGAGAGAGAGAGAGAGAGAGAGAGAGAGAAAGGGGCAGAGATAGCGAGAGCGAGAGAGATGAAGAGAGAGGCGGGATGAAGAGGAAGAGGAAGAGGAAGAGGAAGAGAAAGAGGAAGAGACAGAGAGAGAGAGAGAGAGAGAGAGAGAGAGACAGAGAGGGAGAGAGAGAGAGAGAGACAGATATTGGTGTTTCTCAAAATCTCAAAATGGTGGCCCCTCACATATGTGTGTGTCCCTTTCTGTTTCCCTCAAGGTGCAAAGCAAGTCTCCCACACACACACACACACTTTGCTAGTCTTGCTCAAGCCAGCCTCTCATGTCTCTTGCGAGCAGGCCAATGATTCTGGAACGTGGAGATCACCCTTTTGAGCCCCTCCCTGGCTTCCAAAGACTGGGGCTAAGAAGTTAACTTCCCGACGTCCGGAGTTGCAGCCACAGCACAGAGGTGTTGGTGGAGCTTGCCGAGCTGACGGAGGAGTAGCCGCACGCAGTCTGGCAAGGGAGTGAACATGGTGAACATCGCCCAACTTGCACGCTTCGGTGTGCCAAAACGAGTTGGATTCCTCCAAACTGGCACCTGTCATTTTGAATGGCTTCCCTCTGAAAGGGCCATAAGAGGTGGCACATTCCCGTTGTTTCACCAAGCTTCAAACAAGTCTTGGTGCAGCATGGTCGTCCTACCGTGGGCGGGTCCCTAATAAACCGGTACATTCAGCATCAGATGGTTTGTGTTGGATCCTGCCTTTACCAGGTCCTTCTCAAGAAGTCCCATTCTTCCACACATTCCTCCCCCTGGTGGGCTTAAGTCAAACAAACAAACAAACAAACAAACAAACAAACTGAAATCAAATCAAACCCAAGGCCATAGATTCTGAGAAACCGACAATGAGTCACTATCAAAAGCTGCTATGAAAGGAGGCCACCCAAAACACATGTCAACCCATCAACAGAGTGGTGCTCTGCTTCTGTCTCTGGTTGAGGCCACCACTACCCTTCATCTAGCTGCTGTTTGCGGCGCAGAAGAAGTCTTCCCAAAATAAGTCCCTTGTTGGTGAGTTTTACAGGCTCGCTGGCAAAGGGTTTCCTTACTTCCCTCGAAACATTAAGCTTGAGGAAACTGCCTTGGTGTTACCTACTTCCCCATGTGATCCCGACCCTCCGCAACCCTGTTCCACCAAGGCCATCTACAAAGGAGAGGTTTTTTGGCTGGGGGGAGGGGGTGGGATCCCGTCCCATGAGTTGGGATTTCCCTGGGTCCGTCCTGGCACTGCACAGTGGGGCAGCCAGCCAGGCCCGCAGGCAGGTGGCCGTAGTGCAGCGCATCGAACTCCTTGGTGCCAGGGGTCTCACCTCGGAGAGACGGCAGTGCCACCGCGTGAGTGCCACTGAGCGACGGCCTTTCCGAGCCCGGGTAACCCGAGTGTGGCCAAAATACAATAAATGGACCTCTGAAAAAAGACCATCCTAAAAAAAGAGTTCCGCAAGTGTTGGAGACCCAATAAAATGATGAGTCAAAGTTGAGAAGCTGAAACTGTGCTGCTCTGAATGTTTGCACTCGGATGCCTCCTGCGGGTGCTGTCATGTCATGTGTATTCAAATGTGCCCTCTGTGAGAAACCTGGCACCACAAAAAAGCGTCACGTAGCGTTTCCGGTTGAATCACCAACTGTACGTACATAGTATTTGGGTGATCTTAAGCAGGTGCGAACAAATGGGTTCTAGAATGCTACAGACACACGTGATTGTCCTGTGGTGCAAGCTGGAACCCGTGTACTAGAACCCATGCACGCCTGCCGGACTTACGTTTCCGAATGCGATGCAATGCTTGCCTGGTGAATGCTAAAAGAATCCAAGATGCGGCAAAAAGATCTAGTGGGGCATCTGACATCTCAAGCATTTGTAAGCTTCCAGCTTGGCCTGAGGGTATTGAAAATAGTCAAGCCACACGCCCAAGCTTCCCTACACCGGCGAATAGGGACACAAAGGAACAACTGCAGGATGCAGCAGTCAATAACGAAATGACCGGAAGAGTCATTCAGTGGAACCCCAAAGGCTTGTTTAGGCTGGGTAGCCTCGCGGATGGTGCTTGAAAAGAAACCAACAGGAAATAAACATGCCCTCTTTTGGACTCACCCAAATTGCCTTTCTTGGAGCAACACATTCCACTTCACTCCATCAATGAAACAAAGCACCATGTGCAAATCAGCAGCTCAGCTTGGGTGTCAAAGCGAAGCTATCACACGCAAAAAAACTCATCTGGGCATCCTGAAACGCAAATGATTCACACACTTGGGCGATGCTGAATTCTCTGCTGCTTTGGTTCCCCAGCGCACCCCACTTTGCAAACAAGCAGCTGGCATTGCAGGCGAAAGCCTCCAGCTTGCCCTCAGGCACACCTGCGCCATGTGGCAAATGGGACTCACCACAAGCACCCGCGCCCAAGCACACGAGTCACACTAAACCTCTCCCCCCTTGCTTCAATAAATCATTGCACCTCCGTCCCCCGCTCACCTTCCGCCTGGGTCTTGCTTGTGGCTCTTGAGCCGTGCCGGCCATGCACCAATCAAACGGGCCAAGCGGAAACCGGGCGGTCCAGCCGAACCTGCTCGGAGAGGACTCCTCCCGCCTGGCTCGAGCTCCATGGCGAGGACCTCCTCGTCCTTGGTGAAGTCCTTCTCCATGCCTCGGACGATGCCAAGAGCTCATCTGAGGACTTGCCATCAGCGGGAAAATTGGGGGAAAGGCCATCATCTTTAGGAGCGGAGCTTGCGCCAAAGGGGGAAAGGGGGGAAAGGCCCCGGCCGTTCTTATGGATCCCACAAACCACCCCCACAAACCTTCGCCAGCAGCAGAAGCATCAAAGTGTCAAATAAGGTAAGACAAGTCTAAATAAGCCCTCAATTTGTGGTTGGGGATATCAGGGGATTCAATCGCAATCTGACGGTGGGGGCTGAAAATCTCGCCGGAAACCAGCGAGCCCTGAACTCTGGGCGGAAAACATGTCCTGCCAAAGCACAAATGCTGAACTTGGACTTCTGGTCGGGGCCAAAGGAGTCCACGTAGCAAAGCATCCTCTGCAGGGAGCGCATCTGAGCCTCATCCCGGCGGAACGAATCAGGGCTGTTGGTGACATGGAGTGGCGGCTTAGGGATTAGGGGTCTATGACTTCAAAATCAGGCGCAACTCCCCAATGGATCGGAAAAACCTTCTTCGGTGTCACACACAAAAGGAACAGTGGAAGCATAAAGGGACAGTGCATGCATCACTGGGACACACTTTGGGTGAGGAGCCTGCCTGAAACTCTAGGCAGAAAATGAGCATCCACGCCTTTCCCTCTCCAGGTCAGATCCCTCTTGGGAAAACATTGGCCGGATGACTCGCTCCCGAGCAAAATCCTGGCGTCTTGCACAGCCCCTTTTGTGGTGGGGAGGAAACTTGTCATGTTTGGCCACCCACGCTAGACACCCCCTCTTCCATTGCAACATACAAAGGTCACACGTGAGAGTCCGGGAAACTGCCAGAAAACCATGTCGGACCTCTTCAGTATGGGTCCGTCCCCAAATGGTGAACCCCAAAATGGGGCCGGGCTTCCTCTAAATTCTACCGCTGACAGTTGTTGATTCCTGGTTGTATGACTTCATCACTTGAAAATCGATTCCCTTGATCTCACAGAAAATGGGGCCAAATTGCCCATTCATCGTGTCTTGTTTGAGGGTACCCCTGTGGGGAAACCAAGGAAAACACCAACCATACTGAGTTCCCCTGTGTAGTGACAACCCATTGTCCAACATCATGCCTCACGTTTGGTTGGGGCTGGCAGTCCCCACTGGGTGCCAGCACCACGCCCTCCCACCCAAACGCGGAATCCACTGTGAGCCATGATCAAAATGAAAAGGGCAGAATGCTTTCCGCATCGATGTATGGCAAGGGACAAACCTTCCTCAACCCTGTGATCGGCCGAGTTGCCATGCGTGCTTGGCCCTCAGCGACTTGCTCTGCCTGGTCACAGAGAAAGGACAAACCATTGAGGTTGATTATTCGGCAAGACAGTTTGGGACGTTCGCATCGCTGGAACAGCTACTCCAGTAAACTTTGCCATTGCTTTTCTCCCTCCTGCGTGGAGACGTGGCAAATTTTGGATGTCTCGTCTGCCAATTATTGACGCGTGTGGTTTAGGGATTCTTTGGGGTGTTTTAAAGGGAGCACAGGTCACCAATGTGAGTGTGTGTGTGTGTGTGTCCCCTTCCCTTGGAAACAAACCCACGGAGACCGCTCCATGGCAACGTTGCCTTGGTCGTCTCCCACTGCGGAATCGACGTGTCGTAACCTGCGGAGCAAGCACAAAGCCCGATTCACGGCACGTGAGTCAAGCTGTAGCTTTGAACACCAACGCATGTGAGAGCTGTTTAACCCCCCTCCGGACGTACCGATTCAAAATGTATTAAAGATGGTCCCAATCTACATCGGCTGAACTGCCATCCCGTGTGTTTTGGGTACATCTTCAATTACAGGTGTTTCCAACAGAAGCCTCCAAGAAAATACAGAGTGTGCCTTCCACGTGGAATCCACGAGAGGCAACGAGGCCGATGGAGCAAACCAAGGTGGGTTGTGCGGATGGTGACTCAGTATCACTGGGGGCTCTGAGCGCTTGGTACACAGGCTTCCCTTGAAGGTGTCCCTTGCCCCCCATAGATACAGCCGCAGTTCCGGCCATGAAGCAGAAAAACTTGAAACCAGAACGATTGACCGGGATGAGCCTGCAAACATCCCACAAAAACCAGAGGAACTCTGCAACTTGTCCATGTTCATTGCCGGCGGAAGATATGATTGCCATGAATTCACTCCTAAACTAGAGCTCGTCTTTGCTTGTGGGTAGTCCCATTCTGACCCTTGATCAAGAACTGGCTGTTGCCCTGGAATAACATAATCCAGCTCGACACGAATGTTAGAATAAGTGGTGGTGTTTGTCAATCTGGGCTCAACATTGCATGGATATCAAAGAGCTAAACTCAAATCCGAAGGTGAGCCACTCCCAGAATTGCGAAACACTGCCAAACCAGACTGCACGCAAGGCTCGGGACCTGATTGCGATATCCGGCCCACTGCATCATGGCTACAGGAGATCGTTATATTGACGTTGACTACAAATCCTAAGCTTCCATGATCCGCCCTACAGGATTCTTCGGACCATGGCACCAAAGCCACGGTCAAAATATGCTACTTTGCTGGACATCGGACATTGGCAATTAGGGCTCGTCCCTGTGTCTGTAGTTGAAAGCTTTGTGAAATTGGAGGCTCGTGCCCGGTAGTCCCCAACCTCATTGACCATAGGCGAACTTGATCGAAGACCAACACAATCAAACCTAACCTGGGGTCTGCCCAGAGCCGTGCAGAGAATTCAGCCCTGAAAGAGTAGAGCCTTCCGCAAGGGTCTCGGTTGGCCTGGCAGGGCGACTGAGGGCCCCGGCACTGGTCATAGGCCTCCCAAGCCTCGCGCTGGCTGGTCAGCTCTTTGCACTTGGCGTCCTTCGGCTTACGGAAAAGCGGGGGAGTGCCGGGGGATGAAAACTTGGAGACACATGGGCATGAATCTTAATTCGGGACCCTTTGGTGGACATCAGATAGGCGCGGGAAAAAAATGTCCACCAACCACTTGTGAGGTGTTTCCCTATTGGAATTCATAGCCGCATGGGTCATATTGAACTCCAACTGGTTGGACCCGAAATACTGACCCTGTACAAGTTCTTGTTTTTGTTGGGTTTCCCTTGAAGCCATCCCTCATTTTGGGACCCTCAAAGCATCCAGCCCCCGGTGCCCGAAGTAAAAGACAAGGTGAGCATTGAGCCATTGTCGGAAGGCTCGTTTATCCAAATTTACTGATGCCACGAGCAAACAGTTTGCAACGTGAGTGGATTGTCAGAAGCACCCCACTGATTTCGAGCCAAACGTTTCGACTCGTCCCCCTATCAATGGGCCGCTCTCAAAATAGCTCCCTTCAAAACAACCCAAAGAATCGGCATATAACCTTAGCAAATGACACCTCTAAATCAAATGTTTTCTCCTCTCTCGCTCTCTTAAGCTCTCCGGACTGTCCTCTCCCTGAGTGCGTGGAGCACAGCATCCTGCAACAGGTGCAACTGAATCTAAAGATGCTTTCAAGAGCTGGCCCGAGAGCCCCTTTTCATCGCCAAACAGTGTTAATTGCGCGTCCCTTGATCGTTTGAGACCTTCGGCCCCAGAAGGTGCAGGATTCCTCTTCAAATACCAGACCTGTTCCAAAGAGGATTCGGCAAAAGAACCATCCTGCGGTCCTGGAATGTCCGACTGGGTCTTCGGGACAATCTCCTCCACATGGCCATCGCAGTTCTTGAAGCACCGCTCCGCGGTGCCCATGATGTCGTTGCAGCGGTGGGACTCGTTGTACCGGGCCTTGGCGTTGCTGTTTTGTTTCTGAGGAAAAAGAGTCTGCGTAAGTTTCCTTCACACGCTGGGCATGGCGTGGATTGGCCTGGCAGCTGTTTACGAGGAGTGAATTCGATCCTTGAGTTGGAGCGCGCCTGTCCAGCTTCCGTTTCCGAAGCCGAGGTCCAATTGATGTGCACCCAACAGCAAACAGCTTCAGTACAACTCTGAAAAGCTCCGGTTCCTTAAAAGTTCCTTTAAGAGCCAGCACGCCAAAAATGGCAGCCAAAAGTTGGTGTGGTTGACTCGCGCAAACAATGAAACACAAGAACCACACTCCAACGTTGGAATGCCTCGGTTGGTCTTCTTCATGCCAGCCCTTTCCCCGGCTGGCAATGCCAAGCTGCCAGATCCAGAACGCCCATCTGCGCCTGGCACTCTGGACTATGAGGAAGATGCAAGGTGCACGTGATGTGGGGTGTGCCCTTTTTCTGCTCACGTGCTGAAAGCAATTAGCCTTAGAAAATCCCACAAAGCTGACACAGCCAGAAGTTCATCCTTGAACTGAGCCCCAAAACACCAGAGGCTGTCAGGGCAACAGCACAAATGATGCGCATCGATCACTCGCTTTGGCTGCCCAATCCCAGTACTTAAGCAAGACCAAGTTGTAACCTTTGCAGCATCTTTCTTCGTTGGCCCTTTGGATCAAACTGGCTTCGCCTTACGTCGCCTGCGGGCTGCAAGTGTCCTCTTCACTGCCAGCATGGAGGGTCTTCTTTTCGACGGGTGCCCTTTCTCGGGTTTGCTTAGGGTCCGGCCCAAAGCGGAACGTGAGCGCCAAGCCTTAAGCTCAGCGATCATGCGATCCAGGAAGGCCTTGTAGCCCTCACCGCTCACTGGGGCGCCTATGCGCGGAAAACGAGGCGTTCGGTTCGCTTGGTGCTTGTCAGGGGAAGCTACCTTGTTGACTGGGACGTGCTCCTTCCTGCCAGCAACCCACGGCAACTGGGCCGCAGCCGTCTTGATCCCCTCGCTCCCGCTCCTTCCTGCTCTCCCCTTCCTTGCTGCACCTTCCCTTCTGCCCGCTCTCCCCTCCCGCTCCTCCCTGTCGAGTGCAGCAAGTGGACGGCAAAAAGGAACTGCTCCAGCGCGATGTTTGGGAATTGAGCTGCAGTTGGGCTTGACGCTTTCTTGCCAAGAAGCTACAGGCAAGGAAATGACCTAAAAAAAAAAAAAACTTACCAACCCCGGACGCTCGCTGACTCCTGCCCTTTGCGTCCCAAGGCGCAATCCAGCGGGCCACACTCCTCACCCAGCGAGGTGCAGTTCTCGCCCATCACCTTCACCTCGACTCCACTGGTTTGCAGCTGTGCATGTCCTTCCCATTGTTCACTCCATCCTCTTGACACCCTAAGTATCTCAAGTAGCTGACTTGAAGGCAAACCTCCTACCTTACCCTAAATTGACAGAGTTTTGTGGCTTCCTGTGGTTTGTTCCCTTGCAATTCTTGGGCTTGTCTCTAAATAGCGGAACCATCAAAATGGGTTCCCCTTTGTCCTAACCCGCAAGCCTCAAGAAGCGACGCCCAGCCTGGGATGTGCAGTAGTAGTCGCAGGCCGTCCTGAGCCGGAATGGCACACGCTGAAGTCTGGCATGTTCTGAGTGATCATCCAAATGGGGCTTGGTCTCCATAACACGCACGGGATCCAAAGCAAATGCGACTCCCCCTTGTCAACAGGGGTGTCCTCAACAAAAGACATACCCCAAGACAAAATCCAATGATCAGTGTGCTGTGAAGGCGGTCAAGCTCGCATGATCCGCAAATATTGCCTGCACCTGGACAATGTCAAGTGACCCGAAGCGTTCCAATGGTTTCTTGCCAATCTGGATAATCTGGCCGTGTAAGGTCACCTGCTGAAGCACTGTGTCAGAGGAGCATAACCCAAAGACACTCTGACATTGATAACCATAGAAACAGTCAAATGGCCCCTGACATCTGTCAATTCCGTTTTGCTAGTCTTCCGGGGGTTGCTCACAAAATGGAAGTGTATGCTCCTTTTGGCCAAGACACAGGTCAGCAGCAATCATACCTTCCCAGGTCTTGCACTGGGTGTAGGCCTGGAAGTACTCCTGCCCGAGTCTCAGTCGCCATAAATGAATACAAATGAATGCGAACCCAATCGACATATAAACCTCTGGTCGACCTATTCTGCGTGGAATTCATGTTTGAGGAGATCCTTCGCCTCTCGGTGGCTTGGGGTTTCCATATTTGAATGCATGCAACAACCCCTGGGTGCCTGCATCCTTGTGACGCTAACCCAAAATCGAACCCAGCCTGTCCCAGTCTCAGTTCCCTTGAGCACGTGCAACCTCTGCCCTGCCTACTCTGTTTGCGAGTGCCTCAAAAACAGGAGAAAACTCAAAATGACCCCTTTTCTTGAGGGTTCCATTTATACAGCCCCAAACACTACCCTCGAAAAAGACACACCCAATTGTTTGGAAGCCAAAGCGACGAAACCAACCTTGACAAATGCCTTGCTGACTCTGTGCCAAAGGACGCTCCGGATATGGCTGATGCTGATGCAAATTGGCAGCTACATGATACAAAAAAAGACAAGCGTTTAGGCAAACAAGAGAGTCTTTATGATGTCCACGAGGCTGCGCAAGTTGATTTGCAGCGGGGTTGCGACAACACAAGCCATTGCAAGTCTGCGAGAAGTCCTCATACCACGGTGTGGAGTTGGCTTGGAGCAAGGACGCCGGGGGAAATCGGACATGATCGGCAGCCTCGAAATAGCGGTTGAATACGACAAGTCTGCTCAACCTTGTGGCTCCCTCACATCTTAGTGTTCTGCGGCTCACTGTCAGTTTCAAATGCTCGCGCAGGTATGAGTTCCACTGTGCTGGCATTCAGCCATACTGGCATCCTGCTTACATCAAAGTATCCTGTTGCCATTGTCTGGGGTTGTGTGTCTCAAACAACCCCACAAAACAAACAACCAAACAAACTGACTAACAAACAAACACGAAAGCAAGTAAGCAAGCAAAGCAAACAAACAGAGCGGTCAAGCGAGCAAGAAAGCTAGCAAACACATAAATGCACAAACAAGCAAACAAGCAAGCTAGCAAACTAGTAAGTAGGCAAGCAGGCAGGCAAGCAAGCAAGCAAGCAAGCAAGCAGGCAGGCAAGCAGGCAGGCAAGCAGGCAAGCAGGCAAGCAAGCAAGCAAGCAAGCAAGCAAACGAACATAAAAACACGCAAAGTAACACAGAATGGTTGTTTCCTGTTTGCGGCCTGATCTCCCAGCCCGCGTTGTCTCCAATTGAAGAAAAAAAATCCTATCTTCCAGACTAAGAATTGCACCAAGAAAGGTACCCTCAAGAAAGGACGTGCACGTGAACCAGCGCTTTGGAACACTTTCTACTCTGATCCAAGCCAGGTCGGACGCCCTCGCCTGTTTTGGCCACAGATGTGGCAAATGGACCTTCGTAAGCCAAAGTGGTTAACTAGAAGATTCCGAGGGCAGCCTAGCGGTGCCCATTTTTCATTCACGGCAAGAAGCTCTGCCCTTCCAACAACGATCATGCTGGCAAACTGTCACGCAAATCTGAGGCTGAAACTAGTGGCACTTAAAAGAGCTGCAAGTGCGATATGATAACATGCGTGTCCAAGCTCAAAATGCCTTGTGTTGGTCCTGGCCGCGGATCCCTGAAGAGGCATCCTTGTGATGCCTGTCTAAACTGCCTGTAAGGTGTACATGTCCATCCCCTGTGGCCCCATGTCACTGGAGCCTCATGAGGCAAACAAGCCCAGCCTCATAGGTCAGGCGGCAGCTGGCCACCTCCTTCTTGGCTGCCTCGATGGCTGCCAGACCTCAAAGACAGCAAGCACACTCGGATCTCTCCCAAAATGGGGAACCTTCGAAATGACTGGTTGCCCATTGGTTTTGCTTCCAAGCATTCCCGTAGGGTACCCTCAGGAAAGACGCACCCACCTCATAACCTAGGGCCTAGAATGCTCGAACAATTGCAAACGCATGTTGAAGTTGTTTCTATGATCAAGATACGGGCCGCCAAACTGCCAAGGTCGGGCCGCAATTCCATCTGGCCGCTCAAACTGAGCCCCGGGCTCTTCTTGTGTGCCTCGTACAGCGAGCCTTGCGCGAGTAAGGCCACCGACAACTTCCACCCAGCCCAACATTGGCAGGGTTTCATTGCCCGTCAACCTCCTTGAGCAAACTCACAACCACCGGCGAGCTGGTGAAAGGACTGTGGTGTTACGAGCTTAGTATCGCAGCGAATGTGTTTCGCAGCATACTAAAATGGGAACACGCATGGTGCGAATGCTGTTGTGTTTGTGCGAGTGTGAGTGTGAGTGTGAGTGTGAGTGTGTGAGTGTGTGAG